AAAAAAAGAGGTAACTACAAGAACACCTTTAGTACTCCAGCTCTGCACTCTTAACATTTATTCTAACGTTCATGTTCTCATTTGACCATTAGATTTGCAGTTTAAATCAGAGTACAGTGCCAGCTCTCACACTGACTTCCTTATAATCAATTATGAATGCTGGTAAAATACTCTATACAAGTACATATCCGAAAGGTGCTTTCGTTCATGCAGCATTATAATTAATAATGCATGTCTTGATCTCAAAGTCATGAGTCAACATTAGTTGGTTAAATGCTAAATATTTACTGCACATCTAAGCAGAATATTCATGCATGCAAATTCTAATGCGAAAGTGACTTGACCGCTGTAGATGTATTTTCGATTTATTATATGGTAATATCATAGAAAAAACTTGCAAAGAATCAGAGCATCGTAGCTTTCTTTACTCTGACACACATTTCATACATCTCATGAAGCGCTGTTATTGTCAAGAACACAATGACTGAGATAGACGAAGGAGGAGTTCGAACTGGCAACCCACTGGAAAGAGAAGCTGGTCAGAGAAGATGAGTCGGTGGTTGGAGCTCAATATAGGATGATGGAAAAAAAAAACAAGTGGGAAACGCTGACATAATCTAGACTGAGGGTGGTTGTTCACCTTCCAGAAAGAGCATAATCCCAGCTTATAGCCAAAGGGACAATGGAATGGTTTAGAACGAAGCATATTCGTGTGATAGCATAGCAACACTCACACCTAAATCCATTTGAAAATGTGTCAATACTTCAAATATTATGTACAGAGACACTCTCCACCTAATCTGACTGCGCCTTTGCACTTTTGCGGAGGGTGGAGAGTGTATCATTTCTGTGTTTAGGCCTACAACCGTAATTGCCGTCTTTATCTGCAAAGTAATACATTTGGGGCAGGTGAATACAAATTCATGATACACTTTTTCTGATATTTATTTATCTAAATTGACTGAATCCTTTTTCTTCTACTTCAAATTTGTATTGTGTTGTTCTATAAAACAAAATCCCAATAAAATGAACATGGAGTGTCTCCTGGTGGTTCATGCCTATAAAATATGAAAATATTTTGAGGAATATGTTCAAATAGAATCCCATAAAACTACCAAATTTCAAAGACTGGTTGTGTCATAGCCAGGACTGTGATAGGTTTGTCATCCATGAGGCACAGTCACTCAGAGGCTGGGAAGGTTATATACCACCGCAGCTTGTAGGGCATGCTTAAATAATATAGCAACGCAATGGCAGGAAGTCACACATATGGCGCACTCATCATTTGAGGATGTTCTAGAAAAATTTATTCTAAAAAATGGCAGCAACAGAGAATAACTCTCATCTCCTGAAGACAAAGACCAGGAAAAGACAGATTTATACTGGAAAAGAAAGGCTTTAGCAAGGGTGGTCCTGCCAAAGTGAAAACCCTCCACCCCATTTTCTTCTCCGGCACGCTATGAATACACATAGACTCACTCTGACCACATATTATGGGTTAGTACTTGCTGATGGTTTCAGATTTGGCTGAAAGTTTATGTAAATGCAGATGTGAGCCCCACATCACTGCAGTTTGCTGGAAAAAAAAACAACAACCTAAAAACCCAGGATTTTCCAACCATGTTCCCAGTCTGTTAATCCAGCAGCCTTAACGTGAACCCACTCCGTGATTGGTCCCAGATTCGCTGTGGGTCCGGAAACGATGTTTGGCTTTTTTTCACTGAAATTTTCCCATTGCTTCTGGCACTGTGAGACCAGCAGGAAATGACTGAGAATTGTGACTATAACAATGCAAAATGAACTGTTGCCAGACTGCAGCTGTTTGTTCAACCACACTAAACATTCCTGTGGGTTAATAACCACACACACTGGAAGGTATCGACTATTTAGAGATTTGGTCTGTGAGACAGTACAGCATGTGCTTAGTATGGAGAAAATTATCTCAGAGTGCAGCCCTATACAAGGAAAAAGCTGTTTTTTTCTTTTTTACTTTGGATGTAAATTGTTTTAGCTTCACTGTTTAAGGCTGACTGGTTAGAAAAGCCTCAATACTTCAACAGATTGTAGATTCCACTCTGTCACATTTGGTTTACAGGGTCATCATCTTGTTACTGCCAGCCCTGCCCATCCTTCCTGGATATGAGGTCACAAAAGAAGAGTCAGAACAAAGGACTGTTTCAGTCATCTTGACCTACAATAACCTGCACGCAATCTTTAGCGTTGTTGCCTCGGCAAATACAAATACAGGTGTGAAAATGTGAAAATCATGATAAAAATCACTGAGTGCTTCTGCTGGCAAGCCGTGCAGATGAAATTTGTACACTCAAATTATGGGACCCATACTTTGGGAAAAACAGAGATCAGAAACTTGAATAAAGTTTTTGTAATTACTTCACTTTTCTATAGGTACATTTGTTATCCATTTTACGGTATTCATAATAAAATGTTACCACTATGTACTATATATCACTTCCACCTCGAATCAGATCTTAAAAACATAATCTGCATCAATAGGATTTAAGTTTGTTCAAGCATCTTTGCATGATGGACCCGGGTCAAAGGCAGTTTTTTTTTATATTTCTAATCTAAATTTGAAACAAGAACGAACTGCAGATTGTAACTTCTTGCCACCATCCCCAAAATCTATTTAATCAACATTAAATTATTTTGGTTTCACTAGTGTAGTCTGATTTGTAATTTTCTTATTTTTTTTATTATCCTTCCCTGACCAGCAATCCTAAATCACTGATGGGTGTTAACATGTACATCTCCTTCAAGACCTTTTAAAAACGTTTCATAATTTCACTCTGAAAATTTCATATTCATCTATTCATTAATTTATGCAAATTTATCAAGTTGGGTTAAAAAAAAACATCTTAATGAATCTGGGACTGAGGCAACAATGGAAGGCCACTAGTTTTGTGTCTGATAAATCATTTCTGTGTCAATTTGATCAAATGCTTCGAATAATTAAGAACCAGTGACACATTACCAGAACCAGTTTTTTTTTTATATATGGTAAATAAACTGTAACTTACAGAACTGTAAGTTCTGTAAGTTACAGTTTCCAGTAGAGTTTCTAGATGAGTACTGAAAAAAAACTAGATGAGTACTGAAATGTACTCATCTAGTTCTTGGGGGCCTAGAACTGCTCATCTCTGCCCAACGTCTGCAGAGACTGATCGGTTAGTTTGAACTTTTACTCATCTAAATATAATTTTCAAGGAAAGTGTTAGAAGTCATCCATTTATTTTCAATACACATTTATCCATGCAGAGTCACGGAAGTGTTGTGAGGGTGACTCTCCATGTATTGAAGCCTATCTCTGGATATGTTGCCACTCAGTCACAGACTTTGAGGAACACAATTCATACACACATACACACATCCTTTTTGGACAATGGAAGGAAGTGGGAGTACCCAGAGAGAACCTATGAATGGAGAGAACATGCAAATTCCATGCAGAAAGACCCCATACCAGGATTCAAACCCCTGACCCTTATACCGCATGGCAATTGTGCAACAATAAAATGTTTCCATGCATCGCACTGTTATAGTAATAGGTCGTAATAAAATTGATACATTAACTGTTTATGCACTGTTATAACAAAGATAATTAGCATTTTGAAGCAAACTTACCACCAGCTAGCAACATGGTAGCCACCGTCCATCCAGTTCTTGTTGTGTCTAACTTGGACTAGGACGTCGTCAGCTTTAATTTACCAAAACTACTTGCTATTATTAAGGCCCTCTCTACTTTCAATTCAATATTATGTGGGTAAAAAATTGCACATTTGAACAGAGTCTGTTATCTTCTTCGTGTCTTGGCTGTTATTCTTTTTATGGCGCTTTTCAAAAAAAAAAAAAAAAAAAAAACAAATATGGAAGTGTGCAGTACCGCCACCATCTGGTCTGGGGTGTGAACTGGAGCAAATGCCGTTCACAAACAGAAAATGGATTGGGTAAGGACAGTGTTTTAGTTTTTAAAAAATAACTGAAAACAATAGATCATATTCGGAGACGTGCAAAATCGCTATTAGTGTTCAGGACAAGTATTGTTTTTGTTGTAGAACCTTCTGTCACTAAAGTGTCTATGTTTAATATTTTTGAGGTATGAATACATTCTTAAACATTACATCAAGTTCCACAATAAGGATGATTATTATTATTTTTTTAATTATTTGCCATTTTAACAAAAAACAGTAAAATATTATTAAGGCACCTAAAAAGGCATATTTTATTAGCCTAAAATATACACTAAGATGACATTTAAAACAAGCTGAAATTAATAATTTAAATTAAGCATTAAGTGAACTTATATATTTTTAAAATATACGCAAAATATTTTTGAAATATTGAGCAAGTGTATATTTACATACATATTTTGTTCCCTTAAAGTATACTTTTATTTAATATATTTCTTAAAAATAAATTAAATATATATTGTTATTTATATAAAATACAAATTTTATATAAATGAAAAAAATAAGATATTTACATATATATATATATATATATATATATATATATATATATATATATATATATATATATATATATATATATATATATATTCACTTATAAAATATATATATATAATATATATAGAAATATGAATTATGATGTAAACTTAAAATGTACTTACACATATTTGAAATATACTAAAAAAATGTACATATTTATTTATTTATTTTCACTAGGGTAGGGTTGTTTTTGTTGTTGTTGTTGTTGTTGTTTTGTTTTCAAGCTGTTAAAAGTTCACCTGTTGGTGTTTGGGCGCTCTGCACGGGAGGGAAAACTCGGAGCAGGAAAACGACGTACCTCCTGGTGCTGATGAGCCTGGAAAAGTGCGCAGCTGCTCCACAGCGGGCTCTCTGTGTCCGAGCTGATGGGAGAGAGGCAGCGAGGGAGGAGGAAGAGGAGGGAGGGAGGGCCGAGAGGGACTTCCAGCCCACCGCCGACTTCTCGGGTGTTTTCAGAGCTCGGTGGGAGAGATGAGGAGCCGCTCTCTCCTTCATGACGGAGTGAAGACGGGGAAAAAAAGTCAGCGGAGAATGGAGGAAAGACGTAGCCTCTCCCGTTTTCGCAGCCGTGAAATGCTCGTCCTTTGATGCTCCTTTTACTTTTAACTAATTGCGAGGTCCGAGCGTCCAGCGAGTGAATTGCCTCCAGGCTGCCATGAACGAGAACTGCGACTGAAAAGACTTAAAAGTGCGACGCATGGGAAGTCAGGTAGGCTATGTAGATTTAAAGAATTTGGAGCAGCAGAATCTCTATTTACTTTCTCTCACTATTGTTGTTGTTGTTGTTGTTGTTGTTGTTGTTGTTAACCCCCTCTTTTCCCTGACAACTGTTTGACAGCTGACAAAATGCAGCTCAACTTTATGACTGTGAAAATGAACGTATATGTATGATGTGATTTCTGAAATAACAGTGATTTCTCTCCTGTAGCTGAAGAGACCAGACTCTTCTCTGCGAGGACCTTCAGTGACAGCAACCTTGGTGATTTGAAGATGAATGTCATACTCCTTCACTACAACCACACTGGAAAGCTGGACCACCGGCTGCTGAGCTCTGACACAAACTCTGGAACTTTGGATATCAAAATCATCGTCTTCCTCATTATTTGCAGCTTCATCGTTCTGGAGAACCTCACCGTCCTGGTGGCCATATGGAGGAACCACAGGTTCCACAACCGGATGTACTTCTTCATTGGGAACCTGGCACTGTGTGACCTGCTGGCTGGAGTCTCCTACATGGTCAACTTGCTCCTCTCTGGGGAGAAGACGTTTGATCTCTCACCGACTCTGTGGTTTGTTAGAGAGGGCAGCACATTTGTAGCGCTCAGTGCCTCCATCTTCAGTCTTTTGGCCATCGCCATAGAGAGACACCTGACTATGATCAAAATGAGACCTTATGATGCCAACAAGAACTACAGAGTGTTTCTGCTTATAGGGACCTGCTGGCTGATTGCTGTGACCCTGGGAGCTTTACCCATCTTGGGTTGGAACTGCATTGGCAACCTCCCAGACTGTTCCACAGTCCTGCCTCTTTACAGCAAGAAATATGTAGCTTTCTGCATCACACTTTTCATAATCCTGCTTTTAGCCATGTCGGTCCTTTATGCTCGCATCTACATCCTGGTAAAATCCAGCAGCCGAAAGGTGAGTAAGCACAGCAACTCTGAGCACGCTATGTCCCTTCTACGCACCGTCATCATTGTAGTCGGAGTCTTCATCGCCTGCTGGACGCCCCTCTTTGTCCTGCTCCTGGTGGATGTGGCGTCTGAGCAGCACTTCCCAGTCCTCTACAAGGCTGACTGGTTTATAGCACTGGCTGTGCTCAACTCGGCCATGAACCCGGTCATCTACACTCTGGCCAGTCGCGAGATGAGACGGGCCTTCCTGGCTCTGGTCTGTGGCGTTTGCTACAAGATGAAGGTGCCGGTGAATGGCAGCGGGAACAGGCAGTCCCTTGAGCCCAGCCGGAGCAGGAGCAAATCGTGGAGCAGTCAGAACAACCCGAACCAGAACCAGCAGAGAGGCCAGGAGACGAACACTGGAATGAATAGAGAGGATGCTCAACAGGGTGTTTAGAGTGATGGGAAAAACTGAGAGAAGAGTACCAGAAATCAAACAAAATGTGGAAAGATGCTTGATGAATGAAGTCAGTTTAACATGAAGCAAGTCCAATATGAAGATTGGACTGTACAGCACAGAAGTTTCAGTTTGGTGACTAATGTTTACATATCTTAAGCATCTGTAATTGAGACATTACATCCAGTAACTGTGCTGGTCTCAATAATTGAATGTTGTTACAATCAGTAACTCTGCTGGCAGGTTTTGCCTCCTTGTCAAGTCCTGAAACAAACCAAAATATGTTCAAATGGGATCATTAAAATTACAGGTAACTTTTTTGAATATAAAGAACGATCAATATTTTTAACAGTGCATTTCCAGAGAACAGGGCAGCTCATTGCTAGATACAATTTTAGTGATCAGTATTATAACATCTGAATAAATTGTACCTTCATTTTGCAACGTATTTTAGAAAGTGCAAGTAGAGTTCCACAACAAACTGAAGCATGATTGTAGACAATTATGTAGGAATAAAACAGCTAGCTGTATTTATTGATGTATATGTTATGCATTTATATACATATATATATGTATTTACCAGTAACTTGATTGTAAATTCCTGATTGATAAAGAACACAAGAAACTGCATCCCTTTCACCTATTTTGCATAATGACGAATGAGGACACTATTATAATGATACCAGGGCTCCCTCTGCTGGTCAGGTGCAGTATTGCTGCAAATGCAGTTTTTAATTGTTCTCATGGTGGAAGTTAGAGCTTGTGTAAAAATGTAACCCTGGCAAATCAAGTATTTAAGAAAAATGTGGATGCTGCATGCAAAAAAAAAAAGAGTATGCAAAATATTTTAGCCTATTTATATAGTGCAATATACCATCTTTCAAACTCAAAATAAAATCTAAAAAGAATCTGGAGTCTCTGATGACAGACCAGTGACAAGTGCACATATTTTTTGAGAGCATTAATTTTTCCTGTTCTCTGTTTTCTCTGTGCAGTTCTCTGATCAAAATTGGAGCGATTGTGTGGAACTTAAAAGTTATCAACCCTCCATTTCAAAGAATTGAAAAATAAGGAGTTTTGACATATGAGCTTGAAATTATTACCAACACATTAGTTGTTGGTAAACGACGCAAACAGAATCAATTAAAATAGCTCAACTGGACACAGTTTACAAATGTTACCTCCAAATAACACCTTAAATGGCAGCAAGTCTCTTAAGTCTTTTCTTTCCATCATGACAGGTCTCTTTAATAAATAGTAGGGACTTCATTGAATCCATCTTTGCTTCCTTTCCAATGCCAAAAGAAGCAAAGGACATCTAAAGCCTCACAGAGCCACCAGCATGCTTCCTACCTGCAGGCATGGAACTTTTTTAGTCAATACTTAATTTTTCCTTCCTCTCATAAACCACTGTTCCATAGTCTAGGTTTGATTCATTGCTCCTCAGAACTAGATCACAAAACCTCTTTGGCCTAGTTACACAGTGGTGAGTAAATTGGATCAAACTTTTCTTGTACTTTTGTGTCAGTAATGGGATATGTCTTGAAGTTGAGACATGAAGCCCTTACTGTGGAAACTTGTAAGGGCCTGTACAGTCAGTTGAGGGCTTTTGGGGGGGTTGAATCAGAATTGGTTGTCATCGAGCGTGACACAAACAAATTGAGTCTTTCATCCATCCAACCATTTTCTTACAACTATGACCTTGGAGGGGTCAGGGAGGGTGCTGGTGCCTATCTCCAGTGAACGTTTCGGGCGCGAAGCAGGGTCACCTTGGACAGTCTGTTGTGAAATTAAGTCTTTCCACAACATTTTTAAAAAAAAGTAATTTTTGAAAATATTTATTTTATTTAGCTACCTTAACTGTTTTTTAGTTATTAATTTATTGCAAATGCGTTCACACCTGACTTGCTGTGAGGGTTGAATAATTTTTGGCGCAAATACATGAGTGCTACTCTCTGTGTGCCTAATGTCAAACTTTTTTTATTCTGATCTGTCAACAATCTTAAATGCAAAAGCTCAAACTATAAAAATCATTCCTGTCTTTTTTTTTTTTGATGAATGTTTTACCTCAAGTTGTAACATTTCAAGACACGAGAAAATGTGCATTGTTGTTTATTTTCACTACTTATGTTCAAGATGTTACATTATAAATGAAGTTTATTATGTTGAAATATTGAATGAAGAAATCTACCAAAGTGACTGTTTGGTTTGCAAGTTATATCCAGGTTATTTTCTCAATACCAAATCCTGTCAGTCATCTATTAATCTACTTAATCAAAATGAATAAAAGTTATTTTGGGGTTACTGTGGATCAGTGGATGGAATAGTCATTTTGCAGTTTGAAAGCTGCGGGTTTGAGTCCAGTGTTTTTCTGCTGCATGCTGATGTGCCTTTAGGCAAGGTGCTTCAGTCTGCTGGATGTCTCACAATCTACTTATCGGTGTTTGAACATGTGCGCCTAGTGAGTACTACTGGGGGAATTTGGCTCTAGTGTATTATCTTTTGAACAGTCATTATGCTTAGAAAAGGGCTAAATAGATTAAGTTTAGTGAAAGTAACAGATTTTTCAAACATCTACGGGGATCAGCAGTAATAATTTTTGAACATGTAAAAAGGTAAGATGTGAACGCAAAACGTAGACCAACCAATGTAGGTAATCTGTCTTGCAAACGTTTCAACCTAAATGGCAGCACTGCTCTACCAAAACAGAAACAAATACTATTATTGTGAAGAGGTATTAATTACCAAATGTTGTTTAAAATTTTTTTTGACACCTGAATTTTGTATATTGTTTTCAAATTTACTGTCACCTTGAAGAAAAACCTGAAAACGGACAGACTTAAACAAGACATTAGTGTACAGACATGACGTTTTTGCTACAGAGCTGGAAAAGGATCATTGTGAAGATTTAGCTCTTTGGTTTTTCTTACAGCATGTTTATTTGTATTTACTGTATTGTTTACTCAAATTAAAAAATATATATTTATTACGTTGTGTTATTCACCTGTGCCGATTGTTTTTCTGTTCATTTTAATAGAATTTTGAGAGAACAAGATATGTGTGCCATAATATGCAGTAGTAGGTGATGAGGAAGACGCCGTCGACCCAGTTATGTAAAATGAAATGATTTAATGAAGACTTAAACAACAATCCGATAACCCAGGCAGCACAGCTGAGCGGAAGGCTTAGGTTCATCACTGGCAGCGACTGGTAAACGAGTGGACAGCAGAACAGAGACTAAACGAGACGAGGACGCGACAAAGACTTAGAGACGCAGGTGACATTAAATACACAGACGGTAATCAGGGAACGAGAACACGAACAATCAATGGGAAGACAGGACAACATGGAGACTCAGAAGACTCTGAGACTTAAAGTAAACACGCAGAAAAACTCAAACCATGATGGTACCCCCTCCCATCCTTTCAAGGGTGGCTCCAAGATGCCCCAAATGTCCAAAAACAGAAACACAACAAGGGCGGGCGGAAGGGCACTGGACGGGGGGCCAGAGTCCAAAATCAACAAAAAACAACCCAACCAGGGTGGGCAGAGGCTCAAGAGGTGGACCGTCGTGGGAGATCCGGACCACTGGAGGCGGCGATGGAGCTGGAGGGCCACGAGGAGGTTGAGACTCAGACAGAGCACTAGGAAGGAGGTGACGAGGAAGCTCTGGGAGCACTTGGGGTCGACGAGGAGTCACTAGGGCGCAACGAGGGGTCACAGGGAGATCCAATGTGTTAAGTTTGAAATTGAACAGGGATGAGAAAGCTGCAATCAGAGCAGGCAGCACTGACATGTGTCCTCCCTACGCATACGCATGTGTAAAAAAATTACACACATTCACTGTTTTACTGAAAAAAGTGAATGTGTGTAATTTGGAATAATAATGAGAGAACCATACAAAGCAACATATTTAAAATGTGGCAAACATTTTTGAAAATGTCAATATTCTGTAAATCCAAATAAAAGCAAAATTAAAAAAAAAATCAAAAACATTTTTATTATCACTTTATGTGCAAAGTTCCACTTACTTTGAATAAACTAAAGTTCATACATATTTTAAATTATGTTCTTTGTTGTTTCTATGTACAAAAGGATAAAAAGAAAACTATTTTGCATTCAAGATGAAAATGTTTGTTCTTAAACAGTAAGACAAACAGTAGACAGCTGTTTTCAATTCTTGTTTTCAGTTTTGCTGTCTACTTAAATTGTTTGTAATGCATCAAGGTTACCCCCCTTTATAGGTTACCCCTTTTTCTTCTGCAAAAATGAGAGTTCATGCTGAGGTTTGTGTGTAGATCTTTTAGCCACATTTCACTAAAACACTGAGAACACACTGAGTTTTATTTTAAAGAAGCGCTGCAAGAGTTGTGTTCCTTTTACAAGAAAATCATGACGCACAATGTGTAAGAAACCACACCAAGTGAGTCAACCACACTTGATACAGCCTGAAGTATAGAGTCTATATAGTTCGGCCTCTTGATTTGGATCGCAGATGTATTCTCATATTTACTAAAATTGTATATCGTCTGTCTTTAAGGTTTTTAAAAGATATTTGTGAAGGAAAAAAAGTCTGTCTTTTGACATTTTGGCTGATTGGTTTTGAGTGGAAACAAGGGTATGGAGAACGGGGTCACCACAGATGGATGGAGAGAAGATCCAAACTCCAGGCAGAAAATCCCAGGTTTCAATCCCAGGACCTTCTTGCTGCAAGGCAACAGTGGCACCAGCTAGTCTAATGCAGTTAGCATCAGATCATGGTATGTGTTCCGCATCCTGTTAGTCAAGCAAAAGAGGGAGCTTTAAAGCTATGCTCCCACATTAACGTTGTCCCATTTCACTTGGCAGACATTTACAATTATAAAGGCTTGGGAATTTAAAGAAGCTGAAATTGGAAAACCTCTAATTTAAAGTGTTGAAGAGAAGCACAAAATAGATACTTTAGTTTTTCTTCGACTGCCTTAGACAGGGGTCTATGTTTGATTTATAATAAAAAGTCGGAACATGTTGAAGAAATAGCACCTTCCACTTTTGTTGGGACCTTTGTTAAGAAAAAAAAGTTTTAAAAACTTCATTTCATTAACTGGGGTGGCATTAGCTTTTGACAGCAATGTGTTGCATGTTACCTGACGACTGAAACAGCACAGCGCCCTCCTTCAGGCTACTGAAGCCTCATCGCTGCTCAGAGATGATCTTTAAGATTATTTGCAATACCTAAATACTTGAGTATCGTTTTTGGTTGTTTTACAGTCTGCTTGAGGTGCCTGAAAAGTTGCCTTCTTCCTAAAGTGCTGCTATATAATTTTGGCTTATTGCTCAGCAAAAACTTCACATGCATTTAAAATATACGTGAAATGGCAGCTTGTCACTTGATCAGAAAGAGGAGACAGTTCATTTCAAATAAACGAAAATTTTGAGGGAAACCACAAATAAACTGTGGCTTGTTTTTTCATTCCGGTAAAGACGACTTCTCAAGAATGTCAGGGGAAATTACAACAGGTTGATAGCAAGACATCTAAAAAAAGACCGACCTGCCAGCAAGTAGCGGAAGTTGGTTTGTTGCATGTGTGGTTCTACAGGTTGTAGTGGATTAAAACATTTTTGTGCCAATGAGAATTAGGTCCATGTAACATTGTAGCCAAAAACGGGCAAAGATTATGAGAGTTGGAAAATGAGTTTAGGAAACTTTTCTGTTCCTCTCTGAACTTGTACTTCTTATATCTGAAAATCTCCCCTTCCTCCACAATGTTTATAGCACTGGCTGTGCTCAACTCGGCCATGAACCCAGTCATCTACACTCTGGCCAGTCGCGAGATGAGACGGGCCTTCCTGGCTCTGGTTTGTGGCGTTCGTGACAAGACAAAGACTTTTTGTGGACGGCGGTGGGTACAGACAGATCCTAAAGCCCAGGCAAAGCTGGAAGAAATTATGGAGCAGCCAGAACAACCAAAACCAGAACGAACAGAGAGGTTTGGAGACAGACACACAACCCAGTGAGGTCTCACAGATGTGAAGAGGCATCAGGAACATGGCAAAAACTAACTTAAAAAAAGAGTGTAGCTTATCCAGAATTAGGAACAAGCTCTTTTTCCTTCTCTTGGTGGATGTGCCAGCACTGGCTAGACCACTCCAAGGTCGACTGGTTTGCTGGACTTGCTGAGGTCAACCCTACACTTTGGCAAGGAAATTCAGATGGGAATTTACTGGCACCTGTTTGTTTGCTGCAATTCTTTGGTTACTAACAAATGCTTCAACAGCACAAGCTTATCTAAAGTAGCCAGATATGTTTTTTAGATGAAAGCACATCTGCTACTGAGGGAAAATGTGTTTAAAAAATGCCAAAAGTTGTATGCGAAGCCAAAGAAAAAGAATCTTATTCGTAGTAAACACAAGAGAGATTATACACATTCACAATTTTATTGCCAAACAGTCAAACAGAATAATAACAAACCCATACAACTAAAAGATTGAACATCTGTAAACATCATTTGGACTCGTTTTTATTTCATACTTTTAAATATAGCTGTCCCGAAATGGTGTTTTTCTGTGACACCCTCTGTCATTAATGTGTAACCCAGAAATAATGACATTTATAATACATATTAATAGTGAGGGAAAGAGACCAAGATAAAGTGAGAACGCTAGTCTCAAGCAGCAACACGCAGCAGGGCAAAAACAACCTCCAGTGAACAGGCATGCCCCATTGAAGATCAGCTATTGCACACTGAAGGGAGAGAATGGGAGAGAGAGAGAGAAAACAAAACACCATTTGTACAAATTAAAGGCACATTTCAGTCAAGAGAAATCTGGAAAGACGCCATCAGTGTCCGAGCGTTTTTAGTGGAGTAGATTCTTTACATTGCAGAAATAATAAGGTTCAGTCTGTTACATTCAAGTATGAAGCTGTTTTCACCTTCTTCAAAATTTTGTCTAATTTGCTCGTTTCTTTTTTTTTTTTTTTTTAGAAAATTTAGTATTGTTCCCTTTTGCATGTTCTCAAGTTTGCTCAAATTTAGTCACAAACATTGCAGAAGTAAAAGATGTAAAGAAGTAAAAGTGTTTTATAGTATGTCAAAGGTCCGTGACCAAACAGGTTGCTGTGCAGTTCCCCCTACTATACACACCTTCTTGCAGCAAAACACAGGCACGTTATATTACATTGCATCTGTCTTGTCAAACTCATTGAACACGTACTTGTTTTGGTACAACTCAAGTGGTTGAGTGCATTTCAAACACAATGCCCCATTCATTTGGTATCCATCAGAGTCCTGACAACAACAGTAAGAATGAAGCCATTTGAAAAAAAAAAAAAAGAGAGAGAGTAGAAACAAAAAAACAGGCAGTTTCCAGAGCAGCTGCAGATCATTTCCACTAACCCTATCAAAATGTGAGTTTCTTTCTTCATGGAATAGTAAGACCTATCACTGAACGGTTTATAGGAGCAGTTGTATACAGATGGCATTAACTTTGATCTAAAATGAACAAATACTCAAACAAAAGGTACTTTTATGGCACCTAGTGGCTGAAGTATATATATATATATATATATATATATATATATATATATATATATATATATATATATATATATATATATATATATATATATATGATTTGGCATAGGCTGGCTCGCATTACCAGAGAAAGTGAAGGCATAACTTCAGCTTCTGAAGCAGTTTTCAGAAACAACAATCGGGAAGCAACAAGCAACATATCTGACTGAAAGCTGGCTACCTCTACAAAGTTTGATTAATTGAATTACAGCAAAATAAAACATGGAAAAAATGTATAACATTCTGGGCAATAATCACCTGAACAACTACTACTGAACTTAGCGATGTTTTCTCTACATTTTTAATCAACCACATGAAAAAAATGTTGTAGATAGCATCATTATTAAAGCTTAGTTTAGCAACAGACGGAATAATTGTTGTTTTCAGTTTAAAATAAAAGAAATTGAAGCGTAGTATTTTCCTGTATGTTGACAACGCACCTCACCATTTTTCAGCTTGTTTTTCTGTATATTTTTATGTGTTTACTATAAGTCTAAATGTAGTCCTGTTTTACTAAGACTGAAAAAAAGAGCAGTGGAATGAACTTAAGTTTGGGGAATCTAGATTACTATAATACCTTTACTACTTGAGCTATGAGTTTACAAGATTTTTCCAGTTTAGCAGCTGTGGTTTTAATATCATTTCTAAGTAATTACTGATTCCCCCCTCAAAACAAAACAAAATAAATTCATCAAATGCCTCAGATATTCTGCCAACACAGCATAATCTCTGTTTAATCAGTAATCGAGAGGCTGCCTCTGTAGGAGAGTGCAGCAGTTCTGGTTGGAAATTAGGATATTTCCTCATGAAAAGGGAGCTGGACTTTATTTCTGGTGATATAAACAATAAAAGGTTTGGTTGTCAATATACTCCCTCTACTGCTTAAAAGTAAAAACACTTTATCTGCAATTTAAGCACAAGTATGTACACGGTTTGTGCCACTCCTTACTCTTTATCTAAAAAAATCAGAATATTTGGGAAGACATTTTTTATCTCATTTGATAAAAAGAATCAAATTCATTCATACCAATAAAATACAAGCTGTCTTTAAATTTGCTTCCGTCATTTTAGCACAAGCTACAGACTTTTTGTGGATTTTCTTTTTAATTGTAAGTTTAAATCACTTTTAGACCTAGCTGGCAGTTTTGAGTGAGCAAAGCCTAAATATGTAGGTCCAAATGAGGGCTATGTACAGACGTAACACTGACCAGCCCATGCCTAGTCGTGACTTAAGATAAACACATTGAATCTATGCAACTGCATTTTCAATAAGTGCAAGTGAATAATCTGTTCTAACCTTAGTGGATGTAAAAGCAACATGTCCATTAATGACACCTTGAAACAGTGATCACTCATCCAGTGCGACTGAAACAGATCTCTGATTGTGCTATTCATTTGTGATCATTCAAAAAACAGAAACCCTTTTTCTAAAAAGTTCACCCAAAGAGCCGAGCGCGTTCATTTAAAATAGGAGGATATTAAATCGTATGAATCAAGCACCAAAAACTAATCACCGACAAAACACCTAAAAGAAATCAGAGAAAACCAATTCAAAACAAATCACTGGTTGAAAAAGCAGAAATATATATATATATAGTTGTTTGTTTTTTTTACAGTGTCAGCATACACAAGCACCTCCTTTCAAATAAAGGGGAATCGAGGTCTACGAACACGGCCACGAGAACAATTGATTTGAAGTCATGCGGCTGCAGTGACACAAGGAAATACTTTATAATTATTAAAAAAAGGCTGATCTCTAAAGCCATTGACAGCAGTATGAAAAGGTGTCCGTTTGCTCCCCGACACTGTGACAACAGCTTCAATCTCCAACAAAAGTAGCTTTCATATGGAGACTAATAAATCAAGCTGTCAAACTAATGGTCAGTTTCAGGGCATTTTTTTTTTTCTATTAGAATTTATTTAAAAGAGCCGTTTCTGATTCTTCAACCACTGAGTCAACACTTTCAGTAGAAATATGGTTGTGCTTGACAGACAAAAACTTAGTTTAGAGTTTTTATTTTTAAAATATTCCTCTCGCCTCTTTGAGGTTTTATCTGCACTTTATCTAAACTACATGAACAATTTGTCGCTTTATTGATTCTTCAAACACCAAATCAAAGTATTAAGTCCAAATGCACCGATTTTTCTTCTCAAAAATATAGCATTTCAGTCATCACAACAAAATAATAGCAATTCTATAAATAGTTTTCCTTAATCCTTAACAAATCTTGAGTACTCCAGTGACTCCAGTAAAGCAGGTCAGTGTTGAGCACATAGAGCCTTTTGCAGGCATCTTCCAGTTCCAGGAGAGGGCATTTAAAGGCCCTCTGCTTCCCATCAGGCATTTCAAGCATCACAATTTCCTTTCAACAGGCTGATGGAGACAGAGTTCACTCCCAGCTGAGACAATTGGCAAATTGTTGTCACGGTGATGGCCAATAAGGTGACTAATGCTGTCAAATATATGATCTTTTGTCCGTACCTTTGAAACAAAAGAAAACAAACGTTAAGAATCAGTTTTGGTTTCACACTCCAACCCCAGCTTTTTATCCTGTTCTTACCGTGCCTTCAGGGTCCACAAGCAGTAAATGTTTGGCAAGTCCATTGTGCATACCAGTCAGAACGTAGGACCCTGGGTTGGTAGTGCTTGTGCGGACAAGAAAGTCCCCATCGCTCTTAAGCAGTTTCTCGGCATCGCGGCGGCTCATTTTGCCGTGGTACCACGTCTGACCTTCCAGCTCCTCTTGCGCGCGGAAAGCCAAAGATCGCACAAGGAGAGGGCTCGAGTTGTCCACAGATGCTGCCTTCTGAAGGTTGGACACTTGAGTCTGGGACTGCCCTGGGGCCAGTGGCTGGGACTGGGACTGAATGGCCTCCTCAAAGGGCTCTAGTGTGTGAGAGGAAAAGAAGAGTCACGACAGAAAATTGTAGTTCATAAGAGTGTAAAAATATTTCCGTATTTGATTGGGTTGCATCATGTACGGGAAGTAGGCCGGCCAATCTGGGAAGGTTCACCACTGTTCCATGTATATCCATTAGTAGATAATAAAGCTCTGTGCAGTTTACTGGAGTCCCAAAGACTGAGAAATGACTTGGTAACCATTTGTCGTCAGAGAGAAGTTTGCAGTTTCGAGTGTGTTGACTGAAATTTAACTTAACGTCCCAAAAATTGTGTTCAAACAAAGTTCATTCATGATTTTACAATGGGGGATTACATGTTTCACATAAGGTCACAGTGGTTAAGAGAGGGTTTCATCTCGTTTTTACAATTTGCTCTGACTATTTTAGTCTTTTGTTGAAATCTGATAAATGATAAAAGAGCAGAAACAGAAGAAATCAGTATGGGAAAAAAATACTTTCTCATATGATGATATAAAATCAGTAGTCAAGTCAAATTGGGGGTTAAAAGAAGGAAAGAATAAAGCCATACACCAACATTAACACTGTTATCTTCTCATCTTTTTGCTGACATGATGTAATTAAATAAGACATGCATAAAGAGGAAACGCTGTGAACCGCTGTAATTATCTTAATTACAGCAACCACTGCATTTAATGGCATCCCTGGTAAAGATGTTTAAAAAGCCTTAAAATAAATGTACCTGTTATTAGAGATGCATAACAATTTATAATGATCCAACTTTTTATTCAAGAATATTCAATGAGGTAGTCAAGTCTCACATTGAGAAACAAGCATTTTTTATTTTCTTTTATCTAACTTTTTCTTTGATAAAATACTGCTGAAAGGGATGCATTTTCATTTTACTAATGGATTAAAACAAGATTTGTCCATGTACAATATGAAAGCTTCCAGGGCCTTCGGAAGAGAAATAGGCCTACAGAATCACGTAGAAATTGGTACATACCTAATTTCTCATAAAAGTTTACACAAGAAAATAATCTGGCTTAATCAATTTTAGAGTAATTTTTAACATAAGTACTCAAACTAAATGTCAAAAGCATTTTATTTTTAGGCTTTTCTGTTCCTCTTACACAGTAGTACCAATACATGTGGAATAGCACAGATTCATAAAGCAAAAAACCTTATACATAATTCAATGATTTTGGCTTTAATTAGGTTTGCCAGCTACTAATAGCAGTTCTTATATCATACATGAAAATACAAATAACTTTTACCAGAAATTGTTCCTGGACAAATACACAATTATACACTTGACGTGAGAGCTAAATATGTAAGATGGCAAATAAGAAGTGAAACAAAGTGATGCAGTGGCCCAGAAGAACCTCAGATCTCAGCCCTAATATGTGGCAGTAACACTGAAACAGTGACGAGTGAAAAAAATGCCCACAAACCTCAACGAACCCATGCAACGCTATAAAGACCAGAGATCTAAATCCATCAGCAAATCTGTGGCAGGCAATATAGAACACTCTTAAGTATTTGTTGTGGTCTCCAAACCACAACAAATCCATTAACTTTGACCTTTGACCTACAAGTTACTAAATTATATGCAGGGCTTTTGTTTTTGACTGCATTCAAATAGCTGCAAGGAAAATAGCTCAAACTACAGAACTCTGATGAGAGCTTGTAAGTTGTAAGGTCTTTGAATTGCAGTCAACACAATGGGACTCCTCTCTTCCAAAAATATTAGGTCTAAAAAATGTTGTCTTTTTGCAGTATTCCAAGTTAAAATCTTCTAATTCTATTATACAAAGCAACTATCTGGAGTAACTAACCATTAACTAGAAATGAATCAAGTCTTACTCATGTCAAACAGGTCCTTCTGGGGGCTCTCTTTGCCTGCCTCCTCTGTGCCCTTTGTGGCATTTTCTGCTTCTGCCTGGAGAGCTGCAAGCACCTGGGCATCAATCTGCTGGGTGTTCACATACATGGGCATCTCCGCTGCTTTTGGTGTCTGACCTTTAGTCTCTGGCAGACTGCTGATATCAAAAGATCCTGAATATTGGCAGAAACAAAGGTAAAGTCAGCCTGCTGAAGTGACAACGTGGTCCAGGAGTAAAGATGTGCCTACTGTACTGGAGTGTTTTGGTGGTTCCTACCCTGCTGCAGGAAGATGGCTTTCCTTTCGTCAGCCCAGTTTTCACAATGCCGTCCCTGGTAGTACGTCTGATCCACCAAGCCCGGACCAGTCTGATCAGACGCACAAGTAGTGAATTTATTTCTCAATAAATTATGCTGAATCTAGGATTAAACAGCTTTAACTATCATTTGGCTAACATTCAAAATAAAGGATAAAGTTATCGCAAGTAATCAGATCCTTTAGTGTATACAGTTGTTTGAAGAATAAACATCATCATACCTAAATGTTTCAGATCATAGAATACATTTTAAGAATCAATAATAACCTGAATAAATACAGAAAAGCTAATTTAAAATTATATCTTTAATCAGAGGAAGTATGTGTATTTGTCCTTGTTAAATTATGCATTAAATATGAAAAGTTCTTTATTATTGGAAGCTGAGAACTGACTGGGACAAAATGGCACACATGGAAACGTTCCAAGACAAAAGGTTGAAATGTTTTGGAAGGTGTGTTTCCCCTTATGTCACAAAGAAAATGACAATGTTTTTTGGGGAAAAAATTGTACTGACAGTCAAACATTTTGATGGAGATGTTTTTCAACATCAAGAACTGTCATTGTAACTGTAATTTGTGCTTTTTTCCAACACGAAAGAAGAATATCCTGCCATCAGTTTGTGACCTTAAGCTTGAGGACATTTGGGTTAAGCAACACCATAATGATATAAAATCAACACATCTGCATTTCTACCTCTGAATGAAACATTATTTTCAAATGGCCTACTCAAAGTCTTCACTTGAGTCCAATTGAGATGCACTGGTGTGAACATAAACAGGCTGTTTAGTCTTGAAAACCTTCAAGCATGACTAATTTAAAACAAAGATTCTCAAAAAAATTTTGTAGCAATATGAAAGATTTCACTAATAATTGATGGCAGTTGTTGCCCCCAACAACACAATCAGATACTAGGTTTAGAGGGCAAATAAAATAAACCTTATTTTCACATAAAATAAGGTTGGTTTGGATAGCTTTTTCTCCCAGGTAAGTCAAATCTTAATATGAAAACTGCATTGTGTGTTGATTAAAGTTATCCTCGTCTGATATGAAATTCTGTAACAGTCTGAAACATTTAAGTCAACTAAAAACACACAGACAGAATACTTTTTAATAGCATTGTAGTCTCAAGTCAATGACATATAAAGACAAAAAGAATGCTATAATCTTAGCGATTTTTTTTAATGAGGTGCTGATTTATTTTTTTAAGACAAAACTCATCCACATGATTGTTTTATTGTGCTTTAGAATGTAGCAAGTTATAAAACTTCTACTTGGCCTCCTTCAGATGCTGCATTCTGATTCGTCAGTCGAGTATCAATAAAGCCTCCTTGGGGTGGCATTTTGCCGGGGATGTTGTTATAATAAGGGTGTTCTGTTGACTCCTCTTCTTCCTCTGTCCATGCCAACTCCTCCATGTTTAATACTCTGGAGAAAAAGCAGTAAGCATGGATAACCATAAAATATATGTAAAGCAGAACCTAAACTCGCCAACAGCTGAAACTGAACAATCAACAGAAATGTTTCTTCTTAAAAGTTACGGTTTCTCCTCTGTATGTTCTTAAGAAGTTCTTAATAAAAGTTCATTCCCCATAATGTTAACATTGAATTCATATGAAGTTTACAATTTCTAATTCAAGCTTTTTAAAATATTTTCAGTTTTATTGTTTTTGAAAACACCAATTTCACCTTTCAAATCACAAAACAATGCTCATTTGGGCTTGCAAAAACAAACTAGGATTGTTTGTTTCTCCAATCCTACAATAAATGTAGGCTTTTTGGAACATATTCTTGCTTTAAAGACTGTTTATTTTATTTATAAAAATGCTAAAAATAAAAGTATATTTAGTAAGTTGCTTGTCATTATCACAGATTCAGCTTAAGTTTTATTCGAAACAGAAAGTAGTGAAACGACTGTCAATTTATTCCATCTATTTGACAAGGGAAATTTTGAAATCAAAACAAAGTCAAAGCAGGTAAATTAAATCTAAATCAGTGTATGAGCATTTATGAAATAAAGGAAAATTAAAAAAAGGCATTTCAAACATCCATTTTGTTTTTGGACTTCTTACCTGTCATGGACTGAGGACATTTTGCTTGAGGGACACTGCAGGTACTGCTGGAAGCGAAGGTCAAATGCATGGCCGATGGTGCTGATAACATCCTGAGCGAGCCCGTCAGAGCATTCAAGGATATGACATGCTGAGAAGGGTCAGATTACAGCAGTAAAGAACATGCTGCACATTAAACCGTTTTATGAATGTCAGAGAAATGCATCCTCACCTCTTCTGTTCACCGGGTCCTTTGCTACATAGGCAACATAATTTGTTGTATCCTATAAGAATAAAATATAACTCGTTAAATTTCACTGATATAATACTGCAAATACATTGTGATAGATAAACTTCATGCATTAAGTTGTATTTGACAGATTGAGGTAATTTTCATTAAATCTCAGATACTGACTCTCCATTCAACAAATATGCTGGTAAACTGAAAAATAATGCTGGAAATACTTACAGGGTCTCCACCTGATGCAAAGGAGATAGACTGCATATGATGGTTGGCAATGATCTGACAGAAAAAAAATCCATTTGTATACTCAATATTTTGTGCACATACAAATTGTTGTGAAATAAAGTTTAAAAGTCCAAAATTAAGTCACCCATAATGAGTTAATTTTGGACGTAATTGGGGGAATGTTGGAGACTGACCTGTTTGCAGTCGGGGGTCATTAGGTTGAGGCTACTGGTGGAGATATTCAGGTTGATGGACATGCCAGCAAACTGGAGATTACTCTTGCCCAAAATGTTGGACAGAGCTTTGGATGGTGGCTGAAAGGAGCAGGGGAAGAAACAGAGAGAGACAGAAGAAGAAGAAAAAAAATTGTTTCATGCAAACAAAAAAAAAAAAAAAAAAAAAAAAAAACTTAAATCAACTTACAGATTTCTGACCCAAATTTTAAACGTTTAAGAAACTCAAAACAACACAAGAAAAACTCTCCAGTGTGAATCTGATACCAAATATAACTTTTATCCCGTTTAAAAGAAGGTTTTTAAAGGGGAGTGGGCAGATAAAAAAGGCCAAAGTTATTTAAGATTCTCTGTATTAAGCCGATGTCATCATCATGTGTTTGTCACACATCCACAGGAACATCCTCTAATATCAGAACCTCCATTCAGAGAAATTAGATGGTACTCATTCTGTTTTTGTTATATTGTCTTTTCTGACATTTGAGGAAGCTTTAGAGAGCAGAATAATGCTTCACATTAAGGCCCACAAACAGAATCCACTTTCACACACCGCAGCTCAGCCTCCTGATCACAGATATTGTGAACTACATGAGTCACTAAGCACTGTGCAGTGTGCAATACATTGTGGGCTGAAGCTACGCCCACGCAGACATAGCGCCATTCGTCTTCATCTCCCTTCTCTGCCTCATTTCACATACAGGAAGGTAAAAGGGAGTGGGGGTGGAGGGGGCAAAACATACAGAGGGGTTCTATAAATAGACCACAGAAGGGTAAATGAATATCTAATGTCCTTTACGCTTCTTCAAACGACTGAGCAGTTCACATATATTCTTCTGGGATCTGGACGGTGTTTCCGTTTGTCGGCATACCTTTCTTTTCCGCAGCGCTCCTTTGGTCCCAGGAACTGCTTCACACACCAGGCTGATTGCTTCCCTTCAGGGAGGGTAAGAGGACAACCATGATCAGTGTCATCAGCAATAACATGGATTGTTTTCCCATTGTTACTTCAGTTTGATACTTACTGAAAATGATGTTACTATAATTGTGCTTGTCATCTAAAACTGCTTTTAAAACATTCAATATTCCTAACATTAATATAGAGCTATAGTAATGAATGACTAAATCATTAATTAATAGAGTAGCTTTTTCATTTTTGTGAAGATAGATATTACAACACTGTATAAAAAATTAAAATAAAAAACAAGTCATTATGAAGGAGGTTTTAGCAAAGATATTTTGTCTCCAATGCAATCCTGCCTACATTAAAAGGACCATGTTTTAATGTGTCATTTGAAAGCATTGTTTTTTTTTCCCACCAAGTTTGAAGATAGTTTACTTTTGTGCATATGATTATTTCATTATACAGATTAAAATGTGTTTGTGTTAACGCTTGTTCATCTTCTAAATACCTATGCTTCAGACAGGCATTAGATTGTGCTTCTCCACAAGGAAGAAAAACGCTGTTCACTTTGGATTATGTTTCAGTCTTTCACACACTTTTGAGCAAGTAAGGATTCATACACAGACGACAAGCACACAAATTAAAAAGTGATGAACAATAGGACGAATTTAATTAAAAATGTGCACAATTCAAAAATAAGAAACTTATCTTTTTGATAAATCTAATAAAAGATATGTACTTTATTCTTCTGTAACTTATGTTTTGGGAGTTTTTTGCCTCACATTCCGAACAAAAGAAAGGTTAATCATGTGACACAGCAACATAGCCAAGCTCAGGAAGTCCTGGAGAAAAGTGGACAAGACATGAACTAATTCCCATCAGGCTTTGCTTCACTGCGTCAGCAGTGGTTACAAACTCAAAACAAAGTCATGGAATCACAGGAACGTCAAAGTGAACAAATAATTAGAGTTTACATCAATAAAAATGATTGCTTTACCTCTTTAATGGACAATGATTTGAATGTTTTGTTGCTTAGATACACAAGAAAGAAGCCATCTTCATCAAAAATAGAAATTTTGCAGCATTTTATTACACACACCTTTGATGAATCAATAATGTTCAATGTTTTACATTAATTAGATACATATAATTAGATTTTCTAACTTGTGCAACTCTTATTAAAATGGGTTTAATTGTCTCTGTATTGTATTTTGCGTGTTGCTTTTTTTGGAGGAGGAGAGGGCTCATTTGGACTCTGACACAATAGAGCCACTGAGTCATTGTCAGGGTCTGAGTCACTTTAATCACAGAGTGTCACTGCTGCAATATACAAACACGGACTGAAAAATGGGCTTACAGAAGAAGAGGAGCTTCAGTCATTTGTTAATCAACTAAATAAGTAATTGATCTTTTCTCTTTTAAGGTTAAGCAGTGAACTGTTTCATGATTTTATCTTTTGCATACAGGAATATGTACATCTAACTTTATGCTCGTTTTTATTTTCCATTCACTCGCAACAGAGTCAACCACTACATCATTATACTTCAGTTCATTTTCACTCTGCATAGCAAAATGTTAAACATCTCCATTGCAAATTTGTTATGTTAATGTATTGTATGAAGACATAGATGGACATATTTGAATTGTAAATATTTTGTTTGTATGTTTTTTCCACAATACAAGTTTTATATTCCAACTTTGTATTAAGGGATCTCAACTCAGTGTAGAAACAGTTCCTACACTTTCTAGATTTTGAAGACTTTATCATTAAATCTAATTGAAATGATTTAAACGTTAACGACTGTGGAATCAGAAGCTGTGAATTAGATACTAATTCAGCATACAGAAAGCTGAATATGGTCCAATCTTTTTTTTTTTTTAAACACGAACTGGACATGCAAAGATGGAATTAAACAAAAATGTTTGTGAAACAAAGAATCAGTTTTGTCTTTAAACTGTTGAGCTGTGACTGTGACCTGGGCAGAGAGCCATATTGTCTATATCAAAAACAATCAGTAGTCCCAAATATATTCACATAAATTTTATCTGAGATACTGTCACCAGGAAGTATTACGAGATAGCCATATATTTTAATAATAATTATAGAAAGCAACCTTATACAAGCTACCATTTTCAAGTGAAAAAAACTGAGTAATCTTAAAAGCAACAAGCCATAAAATCCAAGATTTTGAATGAAGAAAACCACACCATGTTTTAACATACCTTGTTATTTGTGACCTTGTAGTGAAATCCAAGGATCTCATCGATCGTAGGACTTCTATGCAGCCCAGATACTGCAAAGAAGACAAACTATCATGAGTTTTATGTACAATATACAACATATTTGGCCAGGCAACAAAGATCAAAGTCACCAGAGTCCTGCTGTGGATTCATAATCATTGTGTTCAAAATTTTTATACTAGGTACTTGAGAAGGCGATTGAACTGGAGAGGTGTTAAATGTGAAGTAGCTGCATCCTACTTGTATCAATCAGTGTTGTATGAGATGCATACTGGCAGCTAAAAGTTAAATGCATCAGTTTTATTCCTTGCTGGTGACCTGGGGTGTACAGCTGTGTTTTCATACACATGTTAATGCCATACTGTCCAGCGCTTACTTTAAGTTAAAAAAATCCAGAATTCTCCAAACTCAGTTTTCCAGAGTCCTCCGTCTGTTACTTACCGATTTAAATATGAAAACATGAAAGTTCATTAAAAAAAGCTATGGCAGATATTTCTACAGGCAGATTTTAAATATGAAAGCTTAAAAAGCAAAAAGAAAGAACACAGGGAGTGGAAAATACATGCAGGACACATGGAGGGAGGAAAGGAATATAGAAAGGAAGGACAGAAGGAATGAAGGAAGGAAAGCAAACAAAAAGTAATGTCAGTGATTTATCTCTTCATAAATATCAGTGTGTCTTGCACTGAAGTCAAGTCACAGTACATGAGAGCTACTCGTATTACAGACATCTTACGCTTGAATGATACTGGACCAATCAGGATCATTTTGTGCTGACAAATTTGTATCATTTAGCAGAATCATATTCTTAATTTAGCATCCAAGAACCTTAATGTTCCCCCTACTTTTTCATAACTATAAACATATTAAAACCATAAATTGCAGATAACTCCTCCATTCTTGGCTATGTTGCTATTTAACAACTTTTAGCAAACAAACACTTTCTATGTCACAGTGACATGTGCAGACTGGCAGCGTTATCTATTTTCAGAACAACGGATATGAAGAGCTCACTTGCACAAGCCCAAAAATATATCAAACTGTTCTAAAATTGGAAGAGAAGACTTATTCTGAGCACATCATTGACATTTCTTCTCTGCTGCTTCCCGTAGCGTATAAATGTTTCATAGAAACGATTCCTCTTCACCACAAAATGGGAAAGACTGGTGAACATGCTGTTCAAATGAGGCAGGTGTGTATTAATCTCCATATATCTAGAATTGGAAATAAAAACTGGGTTCTTCCCAAATTGTGACCATATTTATCATCAGAGCAATAACTAAAAAGCTTAAAACAAATAGTACTGCAATATGCAGAATTACACAAGGACTTGCAATCTCCAAGTCTCCATAAAAACTAGTGGAAATATCAATAAACAAACTTTGGTTTTGAATGCTGTGCAGCTGGAAAGACGGTTCTCATGATGCGCAACTGTGGCAACTAGTGTTTGCAACCAGGAGCTGCTGATTAGCATCTCAAAAGCTCAGATTATACTTGAATTATGACTAAGAGTTGAAAAAGAGGCTACAGGGATGCAGAGCAGGACCAAAGGCCAGAGAATGAAGAAGGAAGCTCAAATCTTCTCTTCAATCAATCATAAAAGTCAAGAATAATATCCCGGACTCCACCATCTCAAGATCGGCCTTCAAACCGTACAATCAGAGAGCGACTTAAAGAGTGGCAGCGAAAAGAAAATGAGGTGGACTAGCAGTACTTGCCAACAAGTGGTGGTGTCATCCAGGATATGTTACTGTGGAATATTGTCTCTCCTGCCAGGATATTGAGTTGTTAGTACGTCCTGCAGGACTCATTACTACAAGAGACCCTTGCTGTCCACTTCATCATCATCTGCAATAACTCTTTAATTTCCCTTTGGGATACATCAAGTATTTTTGAACTAAAAAATTTTTATCTCGTCCCATTCCCAAGTCAGTCCCCTTACCAAAATCCAAAATAAATCCAGTGGAATGGGCTAAAGAGAGTAATGTAACAGAGAGAACAGAGGATTCTGGATGATCTAGAAAAAAATTGCAATATTACAAAATGTTTTATGAGAAGACTACCGTTGTCCTATTGGCAAAGGGGGATTGTAAATATTGAAACCAAGCGTGCCAATAATTGTGGAGAAAACAAATCTAATCTAATGGATTCCAGATGCATCAGCAGACAATCCAAGGCCAGGATCCAAAGAAGAACATTTTTACATCTTCTGCATGACATTCATGACGTAAATGTGGAACGTTTGCATGTGGCTGTACGTTTACTATGGGGAATATGTGTTGAACGCTATCCAGAGACCGGAGGGACTTCTCTACGATCGGGCCAAGATTTTGTCATGATCCGGTTGTGCTGACTAGGCTGCAATTTGTCATAAAATCTTAACTGTTCAACCAAAGTCCAACCTGCTGAACTTTATTCTGAAAGCATTACCACACCAGCATCTTGACAGAATATACCACCCAGGGATTAACAGGATTAATAGACATGCCAGGCATCAAAACATTGAGCATAACAATGTGTGAAAATGAACAGAATGAGATTAGCTGCTAAAAATTTTAAAAACATAATTCCACAAGGTTGAAAAATAGTCTAATAAATCCAACTGGAAGTTAACTTAGGATGCGTCTAGAGCTTATCCAGCCTAAGGTTGGGTGAAACGAAGGGGTGGACATTTATTGCAGTGTTTACTGTTTTCATGATTTTTTTTATTATTATTTGCATAGTGAGAATTTGGACATATTATCACAGTAGTTAATTCCAAGTGTTGATGTGTGAAAACTGCCACAAATTTACTGTATTGTCAGAGTTGTTTTTAGCATTTTTGCCACTATGTGTCCCATGACAGCATCAATGAACAACAGGAAACCCAAAAACATAATTAAATGCAATTACAACATGCACATTAGTGATATAAAGTATATTTCTTTATAGAATATACTCAGTGTACAGAACTGGTGTTTTCTGAAGGTCTATTTCAAATGGTATGGTGTTAAAGAGAAGCAGTTGTTTGTTTTGTCATGCTGTCAAAAATAAACAATTACCTAAAAACACATAGTTTTCTCATCACTTATATCATTATCACAATAGTACCAGAAACGATAACAGAATTTTACTTCCAATAAGTAAAAATTGAAACCATTTCATGTTGACTTTCTCTTTTATTATTATTATTTTTATTTTACCAAACAACAGCAACAAAAGGAGAAGGAAAGTGAAGGTAAACAATGTCACAGTGAGTCGATGCCCTCTCCAGTGTAATGGTGCATGATGTATGAGGGTTGACCACATGACGCTAATTAAAAGTGCTGTGAGCAGAAACACCACGCTGAACTCGATACATGCAGGACACAAACTGACAGGAAGAGCTGGGGGTTGGGGGAGTCAGACCCATTTCCCCTGTCACAGCAGCATTGACTGGACAAAAATAAGTACTGTCTGCCTTCTGGGCAGTTAATGGAAAGCCACGCTGGTCAAACAGACTGTAGGCTTTATTCAGAAAAGTTGTAGTAGGTGTCATGTGATGTTAGTCATCTTGTATAACTTGATTTGGTACATAACATGTCTCACTAGATGTGTTTATCCCTTTCTAAGAGCTAAAGTAGTGCTTTGTTTAATCTACCGCATGAATAAAAGATCATTTTATTCAATTAAGCTATAAAACAATGACCATGGTTTCAGTGAAAATGCTTTCTATCCCAGCACCCCGTATCTGTCTTTCCTTGAAGAGTCGGGTCTCAGCATCATCACTCTGTGCTAGTGACTCATTGCTGGCACGATGACATTCGCAGCTCTTCTACTTGTGCACCAACTTAAATGATGCATGATGGCTGAAGAACATTAGGGAGAGATAACAGCTGCAATGAGACAAACACACCATGAGTCTCTTCCCGTTCAGCCGTTCTCGGGGAGCTAACGCAGCCGTGGAGCTCGGAGAGGAGCACGATGTACAGAAATAACACATCACCATGGTTACAAAAGCATAACGCTGTAGCTTCACATACATCACACAGGAGAAAACCAGATGAACCAATGGTTTAAAGCCTGTTTTTTTCATGTTGCCATAGTGGGCTTTGTCTCTACTTTTCCACCAGTGTTGACCTTCTGCATTTCCTGAATTATTCAATGTCTGTTTTCTGATTGCTCAACCTTCAGCAGTAGCCAGCTCACACACACCCACTCAAGGGCATGTTGTGATGCACAACTGCATTCTCACTCTCTAATCCCCATCGGAGGTAGCTAATCTCTTCCCATTGAAAAAAAAAATAGAGAGAAAGAATGAGAGGGAAAGTGCACCAACCTTCACGACATATGTGACTCCTGGACCAGATATCTTCTCACTCGAGTGCAGCCATCCTCTGGAGGGCTTGCTCACCAGTCCACCACCCCCACCTGGATTCCAATCCTCTCCTCTAGGCTGGAGATCGTCCAGTCTGCTCTTCTTGCTCATGCTGACAGCTGTCTCCAACTGTGTGCAGGGGGTCGAATGGGAGCTGCACTGAGACCCTCCCACACCAGAGACGGCTGTTGCTGCTGCCGCCGCCGCCACGCTGCTGGGACTGGAGCCCGCACCCCCACCCCCTTGCAGCTTGGACACAGCCAGGTCCTTGACGGCCGAGGGTAGACCCTTGATGCCAAGCAGGCTGCCCGAGTTGCTGAATTTCAGGCCGGAGACCTTGTTGATGAGGGTGCAGAGGGTGGTGCCTCCATCCTCCAGATGCTCTGAGCCATGGCTGGTTGTGTTGCTGGAAGGGACGGCAGCGGTGGTGGAGGAGGGCTGGACCTCGCTTGGGGGTGCGAAGGATGTCTCGACTGCAGAGTGGGAGGAGGCCGAGACCTTGGGGTTCATGGACAGGCCGTGGAGAAGCTCATCGACGGATGTTACTGACTCATTCCTGAAGCGGTTATACTTGGTACGGTGAAGCATACCCTTCTCTCTATAGCTCGCTCCTCTTCTCCACCAACCAACCAACCAACACACACAGCCTGCCTCCTTCACAGGCGTGCAGGCAGACGTGGCCGAACCGCACTGATAACCCTCTCCTGTAACATAGCAGCAGTAGCACAGGCAGCAAACGCCTCTCAGCAATCACAGGCCACCTGACTGTAATTTTTTTTCTCTCTCTGTTGAGTTTACAGTGGCGATTCAATGTGCAGAGCTGTTGCTGTCACCAAAGTAAAATCGTTTCTCAATAAAATCCGGAGCAGAAATCCAATCCGTGAGAGACAAAATCTGTGGAAACACAACACTGTCGCACAAGAAGTCGAGCATAAAAGAAACACCCGGCCAGTTTTTGGGGTGCAGGTTTTCAAGCTGCGATGCTTCTGCTTTTCCTTCTCAAAGCTGCTTCTCAAAAAAAAAAATTAAAAAAAATTTAAAAAAATCCCCAAAATTGGAACAGAAAAAAGATGAATGTCGCTGATGATCACGGACACTGCAAGGGAAGAGCAAATACTCTCTGCTGGCTGCTGCCTGCCGGCTCAGAGCTGAAGCATGACTCACTGATCTGAGAAAACCTTCTCAACAAAAGGCTTGCTGAACACCGCAAATCACTTCCTGTTGGAGGGAGAGGGAAAAAACTCCCACTAACAGCAGACTAGAACCAATCAGTTTTTAAATTCCCTGGACTCATATTTATTCCCTGCAACTCCTTGCTTTCTTATTTGCTTCTCAGAGGACAGTAAATGAAGATTGGAGGGATGTTGGGGGTAATGATCATACTTGGCAAAAAATAAATAAAAAAAAAAAAACTGCATTAAATCGGATCTTGAAACAGCAGAAAATTCCAAGAGAAAAAAATACGCAAGGATATTACCTCACAAATGAATCAGAAATATGAGCAACTTTTAATAAAAATTCCAAAATAAAAGGTTATCTTAAATAAAAATAAATAAGTAACTAAAAAGAAAAATGCAGTAATAAGCTGGCATGACTGGAAATATATTTAAAAATATTACCCATGTTGTTTTACCAGAGCAACGAAACATAAAGCAGACACCAAGCCCGGAGAGCAGCGTCGCACAATCAAAAATCTACCAGATAATCTGTATTAACCGTCTCACTAACATATTTCAACTTAAAATGCGTAAAGAGAAAAAAAAATGATTTAGCTTAAATTTTCCAAAATAAAATATTTATCATTTCAACTTAAATGTGGCCAAAACATCTACAAAGAAAACCAGACATGAATTACAAAATTGACTTCTGGAAAGGTGGCAAAGATTCAGAAAAATGCCCAGCAACTGGTTCAGTCTGAATGAAATTAATGCAATGAATAAAAGAAGCGAATAAAATAAATAAATAAAGCAGAGACTGACATTTTTCTCAGGTGAATACGCCAAAATGATAAAACAAAAAGCTCAAGAAAGCCGATAAGAAACGGAGCAGTACAGCATCATTGTCTCCCCCAGTCAGCAGAAAGCACACATCTGTATAAAATGTCCTCAGCAGCATTTAGCAAAGCTGAAATACTGACACTCATTCATAAGCAGCTTCTGCTCTCACTGTGCTGCAGATTTCGCACTGCAGTCCTTCCCAATATCTCTGTTTCCTGCCTGGCAAGACAGAAGAAAAAAAAAAGAGCACGTCTGCCTTTTCTCCTTAGAAACAAAGGCAAACATAAAGGCAGGGATGATGAGGCAGGTCCTGGTATATCACAAGAAGAGGAAAGAGAGAACGAGAAAAAGGAAGCCAAGGGCTAAAAAAAAACCCACATGCGATATTAAGTCTTTTATGTGAATGAAATAACGGGCAGGCATACCAGTGTTTCTGTGAATGGAAGCAAGGCCTTTCTGCCTCTGCAAGGCAATCCCTTGGGATGGCATGGTCTTATCCAATGAGGAGCCAGCTGGATGACTCATTCAGGGGAGGCTTGCAGAATAGTGGAAGAAACCATTCCAGACAGCCGTTTGTGTTTTGCCTCTTCTCACCAGCCTCTTAGAAATGTGGTAAACAATAACGAGGGTGACATATTTGCAACACATATTTCCTCTGTGCTCTCATAAAAGAACAAAGTACAAGAAATGTGTGCAAAATATTAAACAGAAGAAACACTGCCACCCCTGTGTGTTGGACTGCCTTCATTATCATCTTTTTTCCTTCACATTCATGTCAACAGTTACCACCTACACATTTAATTACTAATTTACTGTTTATTTGTTGAAGGAGATGCAGTCACTGTACTGCAAATATATTTTGAGCTGAAAAGTAACTGGAGACTGAATTTATTTAAACTGAAGTAAACACTATGTAATTGAATATGAATTATATGTCTGCCCTGTCTTTATTGTGAATGGGTGCTATGTAATTCATAAATGGTACATTGTATTCCTACTGTAAGGTATGCTTAGAAATTTTTGACAGCAAAAATGTCTCAGTGGAAAATACATATATATATATATAAAACACAAAGTGGCACCAAAAAGTGCCAAAAAAAAAGATGATAAAGAAAATAAAAAGGGATATTGATTATCTTTTTTTTTTTTTTTTTAGGAACATTTTCAGTGGTGGACAATAATACAACCATATTCTAAAATGAGAATAAATCTGAAAAATGCAACAACAAAAACAAAAAACTTGTCAAAGAATAAATGCGCTGACAGATACTTTTCAATCACTCATTCAGGAAGAATGACAACATCAACAATGAGAAATAAACTAGACACAAATGGCATCCATGGAAGAGCACCCCACCCACACACACAAAATTAAATAACATTTATAATAAAAAACACAAAAGTCAGTCTAACATTTACCAAAATGCATCCTAGACTAGATTACATTAGATTAGATTTAAGAAGAATATATTCACATTCTGTGAAAAGTGCTTATAAGACACCAGCTTTTTGTCATGCTTTTGTCAATCCATAGATTAGATAAAACATATAATATTAAGCTAAAGAAAGCAATCTATTAAAGGTCTTGGATTCAATCAATGCCTTTCCTACGTCCTGAATCCCAGTAGCAGTGCTCGGTGCAGCACAGCAACATGGACCACAATTAAGGACACTGTTTAAAGCATTGCATTTGTGAACAATGCTATAGATAACAGGAAAGAGGGGAAAATTATGTATCTCTAATGGGTTTTTTTTTCTTCTTTTAAAACAAACATTTGTGTATTTGCATATTCCAGAAGACAATATTATGCACATTTATTATTTGGTGCAATTAGGGTTTCTCAACTTTCTTCTGAATAGTTGATTTTTTTTTTTCTTTGTAAAGTGCCTTGTTGTGAAATTGAGCTATATACCTAAACTGAATGGAGTCGTTAAGAGTTGGGGTAGAAAAAAGAAAAGGCAAAGCAAGTTATCTGACAAATATTTCACTTGACTGCTGTTGCCTCGTTACCAAAGCCATGTTAAAAAAAATCTTCCAGGTAAGCGAGAAGGAAAACGGTTTAAAATAAAAAAAACAGAAGCAATTAATTGGTAAAATGAGATATTTTTAGTTAGCTCATAACAATAAAGCAAGAACACATTGATAGTGTGACAACAGGATTCTGGTAAATTAAAGGTGAACTACTTTATTGTCAATCAAGATGCATGTCTGCACCACTAGAAAAATATACATATTGAAGAACTGCTGCCACAAAAGCCAACTTCAGTACCACTTTCAGAGATTACACCACCACCACTACAACAACATTGTGTAACACTTCAAGGCAAATGTTTGGTAAATTTATTTTGACATTAAAAACCAGCATGGGTTTCGAGGATTTTGAGACGCGTTTAGTGCTTGACCCAATATTGTCTTTATCTACAGACAAGTAGAAGTTTTAAAATATTCATTGACAACAGCTTATATGTCTAGTCAAGTTGCTCAACGCACACTCTTTCACCCAGCCAAACTCACTGCACTTACATATTCATGCATTATTTTCACAGAGTTGCAGCCGATTGGTTAAACTGCCCAATGACACATCCACATGTGGTGCTCGACTTTGTGCTCATGACACTCATTTCTCCAGCTTCAAATGTTTTCAACTAGGACTTAACCATAATAATCACCATCAGTTTTTCCCTCTGCTCTGATCAGTTTGCCTGTCCCTGCTAAAAGACAACATTACCACAGCATGATGCTGCCACCACCATCATCATTGTGTACCAGCAGACGGTGTGTTCTTTCCCTCAACTGTATCCTTGACCTCTCTGGTGTGGTCCCGGGATGAAACTGGGATGGAATCACACACAGGTGGACTAAGCTACCCAATGGATAACTAGCTACCCATTAGGCAGCAGCCTGTCAGTGATGGCACCAGATTATGGGTGTCAGAGTCGGTAGTATTTGAAACTTACTGTATCCGCTTCAAACACAGAGTCTCACTACAGGATAAAAATCCATTATTTTCTCTTACGCCAGCGCCGCTTGTGAAGCCAAAATATCTACGATTTACTGCAACAAGATACAATATAAACCAGCAAATAAAAACCCCCAAACAAACTCGTATTTAAGGCTAAGCACACCAAACAACATCTGGTATTATAATGCAGTCCCCCACATGTCATTATCGCCATAAAATTCCACATTTAAAAAAACCAAAAAAAAAAAACAAACGACAAATAACACCCTCACCTGCGCCCGGCTGATTGATACAAACGAAGTTATTGGTCACGTGACGTGCACCGTCCAATCAGAACCTCGATGCAATTTGCACGCGAGCGACGAAAAACCTGCAACGACCGTTTGATGACGAACTTTTCCTGTCCATCTGCACTGGAAATCCGTCTGGAAGACAGATTCATTACTCGGACAGGTACAGAGACGAGCAGAGTGAGTACAGGAGAGCAGCCATCTCTCGGCCTGTTTACTGTCAGTAAGGAACGCGACCAGGTGACGTCATTCTATTAAGAAACAGCTGTTCAAAATCTCTATTAGCTATTTATTTATTTATTTTAACTCTTCTAAAACCGCTTCTAAAACTTTGACACGTTAATGGGGCAATTGTGTGTTCTGGGGGGTTTAAAACTTGAATTTTTACATTCCCTTTATGACGATGTTGACAAAAACTTGGGACAAATTTCAATTGAGTTGGAAAAAGTACAAAAATGATTTCTAATTCAATACTTTAATAATTTATTTGAATACTTATACTTAATTGTCATAGTATAGTATCTTAGTATTCCTTTAATTGCTTTAAGGTATTATAATGTATTGAGTTCTGCTCCACCTACTACAATATTTAAAATACAAAATATTCAGCAAACACCAGGAAAACATACCTTTAGTCAGATATTTGAAAAAAAAAAAAAGAATATATATATATATATATATATATATATATATATATATATATATATATATATATATATATATATATATATATATATCGTATGTGTGTATATGTATATTTTTCTAATTCAACCCCAAGTCATAAAATTGCCTTACAAGAAAATATAACATATCCACATTTTTAAGTAGAAGTTCTCAGACTGGACAGATTTGTATACAATATTTTTTTTTTAGTACTTTTCATGACATTAAGGAAATTAGTTATTTTATTAAAAGTAATGGTCTTTTTTTTTCTCTTGGTCAGGCATGTTGTTCTACCTCGGGAAATGGCTAAGTATGTCCCAGAATCCCACTTGATGTTTGAAGGTGAGTGGAGACAGCTGGGAGTGCAGCAGTCCAAAGGTTGGATCCATTACATGATGCACGAACCAGGTATGCGAACCTGGAACTGGAAGAAGCTTTCTTCGTAAAATAACTGTAGAAATTAATTATGCTTTTCCCTAGTTATGTGATGTTTTCATCAAATTGTTTTTCAGAGCCTCATATCTTACTGTTTAGAACACTGATCCAATCCCACCACTTCTCATTGGGAAGTCGTACTGTGAGTGACGGTCACCCTTTCGCTCCTTAGACAGTAGTGCTGATGTCATACAGTTTCAGTTTTTCCATGTTTTCTTTGCTTACAGCATGTTTTCCCTTTTGCTTGTATTTTCTTTTTGTGGACACAAGAGGGTGCTATTATTTTGTTTAAAATTCAAAAGGAAACTACAGCAACTTGTGCAGAGGCACTATCCAGGTCAATTGCATTTTTTCCCAGATGCACCTCAGCTCAATACAAAGTTTCTAATGTGAAAAACAACAATAAAGCCTCACCACAAAGTATTTTTCCCTTACGGAATAGTCATCAGCCTTTAAATCTATTATCCATTTCTTTAATAATCAGCATCTGTTTTGGCACTTAGATTCTAGGAAACAGTTGTCCTTTTCCAAAACTGTAATAGATCTACAAGAAGAAGTCATTTGGTAATAAATTATTCAGGTGGAAGAAAATGCTTTTTGTGGAAAATGCTGATGTGGTACACTGCGATTCAGCAGAGTTGGAACGCGCAGAGCTGCAGGATTCATTCAAATAAATACCATTGTTGCAATATTTCAGTGCACAATTACAAGTAAAAGTTTCTCTTTTGAAAAACTTTGATAGATTATATTATAAAATGAAGAACACTAAAGCAGCATTAGTGTTAATTACATTACATAAATCTTCTCAGTGAGGTGAAAAAAAAGAAAAAAAAATCCAGACCCCAGCAAGACTAATCCAAAACATGCATAAGAAAAAATATTAAAGTACTGTATCATAAAGTTTAGATAGTCTTATGCCGAAGGTGCCTTGCAACAGCATGTACACCCCATTCAGTGTTTTGTTCTAAGGTGAAAACAAACTTCGTTGGGTTTTTACAGTAAAAGCCATACATGTGAAGTATGCATTTGTTTTTAGGAGTATAAAAACACTACTGGCTTTCAATATTTCTGAAAACCAGAAGTTGCTCAACACGATCCATTCAATACAAATCAGAAAGGAATAAAACAATTCATTTCAAGACCAAAACCATGTTTCTTTAAAAAAAAAAAACGCAATAAGTGGTCAACTTTCCAGAGTGTGCCAAAATACACTGAACTTTGGCTGTTGAATGTTTACCTTTGTATTGATATTGTGAATATTATAATAAAGTATTGTTTGATTCAAGTAAATAATTAAGCTAATGTAAGCGTAAGACATACTGGCAATAAAACTATGAACATGGATAGCAAATTTCTTATCTCAGTTTGACCCTAGTTGAGGCTTGAATAACTTTTAAGTAATACTTCTGTAAGATAGCCTTGGGGAGTGAAACTGGTTCTTTAAGGAAGTCAAGAGGCAAAACTTTGAATATCATCACACTGTAACTGGGTTTAACAGAGACACTGACCCACAGAATCTGATAAACTTCAAAAAGGCATTTTCCGTTTCCCCACAAGCACTGCTTCAAAATGGCAGTCTTATACTGTGAATACAGAAAAAAAAAAATCCACTACAAGCTTCCTTAGACTGAAGGAGTCAGTGGGCTTTAATCCTTCCAGTTTGGAGGGAGTCCAAAAACCATCACAGCAGCCATGTGAAGTCTGCACCTGCTGGGTGCAAGAGCTGTGAATACTCCATGTCATGGTCCATCAAACTCTCGTGTAAGTGGTGACACTGAAACATTTCACTTGTGTTTGGGAAATGTTCAGTGTCAGAGGAGTGGTCCAGCAGGACTGAGAGGCCAGTGCACAACCAGAATGAGCACGTGCTCACCCAGTTGTGTGGCCATCACAGCTTTCCTGCAGAGGGAAGAGCAGAGATTATAAAGAAGCAAAGAAGTGAAAAAAATAACTTAAAAAAATGCAAGGCAAGGATTTCTGTGGATTATGTGCTTAATGCCCATAAAAACATACAATGTAAAAGAAGTAGACAGTTCTCCTCTAAAATCTAAGCTTTGAATTGATCATCACATTTTAGTTTTAAAAACCTCAAAAGACAAACATGGTTGATTTGCATTTAATCCAATTAGAAGTATTGATGTGGTTAAAACAGATTGAAGTTAAATTGATAAGGATATTTTGTAATGTAGTTCTTCATAATCTGATTTATTGAGATTGTTGCTTTCTTACATTTGCACTTATTTCTTTTTTTACTATTAGACAAGCAAATGTCATTATTTTTCATCAAAGTATTGCCCTATCGGCAAGTAAAGGGGGACGACAGCTATCACTGGGACGACAGCTATCACTGAGACTTTGCCACAGTGAGATGACAACTTAAAAAAACTGATTGGCTAAATTTATTTTAAAGATATATTTTTCAGTTGTACCAGCAATGGTGCCGGTGGTGAGAAGTGAAAGCCAAATATTTTTTCTTGGGTTTATTTTTTCCACCAGAAGAAATATTCTGAAATCATGGATACTAGAGGAATAAAAAAAAAAATTCATCTTGATATACTGATTCTTGAATCAAGTGAAACATTTCATCAAAGAGGCTTTTGAAGGATATGAGATGAAAAACACTCTGCCATGTGACCTACCCAGGCTTTTTCCCATCTTTTCAGCAGCTGCTCATGCTCTGTCAGCGCACCTCTCCATTGGTTCAGATCCCTGGATGGAATGTTTTCATCTGTCAAACAACAACATCCTTCATAGATTTAAACGTCACCCGTCGCCCCATCAGTGGCAATACTCACAACCAATCAGGGCAAATCCCTCATTGCACGACCACCTCACAGCAGTTCAACGTTTTTACTCAAATCCACACAACTAATATACCTCCGGTAGTGAGATGGAGGTCAATGTCAGACGTGTCACTTCCTGTGCTGGCTTCCGCAACACAGCGGTAACGCGCTTCCTTGATCAGCGGCCCCCCTCTAAGCCAGCTGCTCACCAGCACCTCCCTGTGGCCCAGTGGCCTTCGGTACTCCATTACTGGTGTGTCCACACTGTACCCGTTTATTAGCCAATGAACATGGATGTCGCTTGGACCTGCGGGACAGAACGGGACTTCTTGTTGACTCCTGATTGTTGAGACCCTGGCGGGGAGAACATGGTGCTTTCCTTTCGTACATTTTAAATGAGGAAATCAGTTTGCAGAGATGGAAGTAGTCATGCAGCAGTAACAGATTCCATCGCATCTGATTTTGTTCTGTATCAACAGTGATCATCCAAACAGTTCAGCATGCCAGAAAAAGTTTCATTTACGACATTAAGAAAAAGCTTTCCTTAAACCTTATCTACTCATTGCCATCTTGTAAAGTTTGTACATTGAGAGTCTGAAAGAAAACATTGGACATTCAGAAAATAGTTTTTGATGCCTGATAAACCATCGCCAACCAGGATGACTGTGTAAAACCTTTTCTCGATTGTAGAATGATGTGTCCGTATCAGATCTGTGTTGGCGTGTAACCCAGCCTCTGAGGATTGCATGCAAGTAAAAAAAAAAATAAAATAAAATGAAGTTTGGCATGCATTTGATTTAACCCCCTCCTAACACCTCAGTGCTGCCATAGATCTTACTTATGAGTGCAATACAAAAACTCTAGCTGAATTGAAGTTGTATGAAGTCCAGTTTAGTTCAGCACCAGAAATGTAGAAAATACAAACATCTGAAGGAAGGAGCTCTGGTCAAATGAGACCAAATTTGAGCCTTTTGACCAACATGCAAAATGCCAAGTTGGGCAGAAAGCTAACATCACACCAAAACCACCATTCCACCTGTAAAACATGGTAATGGCAACGCCATGCTGTGGGGTTAATCTTCAGTAGCAGGGACAAGGAAGCAGCACAGAGTTAATGGCAAGATGGATCAAGATAAATACCAGATGAACCTGGAAACTTTTTACTGACAGCAGGATGAGAAGAAAGATACAAATAAGGAGTTTAGATCAAAAGCACACTGGCTGTATTTGAGTGGTCCAGTCAAAGTCTTGGGTTGAGTCCAAAATTGATGTTCAGGTTTTCTTTGTTATTGACAAGTTCAGTAAAAATTAACAAAAAAATAAAACAAAAATATCAATCATTGATATGCAAAGGTCATAGACACCCCCAAACATACAACTAAGTGCAGCAGGAGGTGATTCTACAATAAATCAACTCTGGGGATCAAATGTAATCGCATGCGACTGCCTTCAGGCCATTATTAATAAATATTTTCCTTCCACTTGACATTAATGTCTTTTTTGTTCAATCACAAAAATCTCAAAAGACATTGAAGTTTGTGGCTCAAACATGACAAAATGTGGAAAAAGTGTCTTGGGAAGTGATTACCTTTCAACAATAATGTACAATGATATTTTGTGTCATTTTTTATTCTGATTCAGTTAAAAAAAAAAGGTTTATTTTACCCCTCTACAGGGAGCCCAACATCCCACATTTATGTACATAATCAACAACCATTTCCAATATATACAAATATTGACAAATGTTTACAGGCACAAAAAAAACAAACAAAAAAACAGTTTTACCAACAATTCTGCAGATTTCTGCATGTTCCATGGAGACATCATGAACAGTGCTCATCTTTAAATTTTACAAATTAAGACTGCCATTACACAGCAATTTATTAAAAAAATATATTTGTGCAAGTCAGTTGTAAAGAAGCTGACATTTTTGCAATGAATCCGTATTTTCATAAATTGATCCATCTTTGTGGTAATCCAGCAAATAAATCCAGAAACCCAAACACTCAGCTCTGTTAGTTCAGGCTCGAGTAATGCCAACACGCAATAGAGCGGGCAGAAAAAGAACGCAAAACAAATGGTTAAACACACAAGGCCTGGGTTTCAAAACCACGTGTCCCTGAGGGAGGGGGTTTTTGGAGGGGTGTGAGATAGGTCGGAGTCACAGGCAGCACTCACCCAGGGCGAGGCAGAAGAGCAGGAAGGCCTCCTGGGCGTGAACCCCCCAGGCCTGGTCCTTCAGGAGAGGAGGCAACAGTCTTACCTCTGCCTCCCGAGCCTCCACGCAGTGGGGCTTGGCGGGAGAAGAGGAGGAAGGGAGGGAAGAGCAAGAGCTACTTCCAGAGGATGACAGAGAAGATGAGGAGTCGATAGAGGAGGCTGTGAGAGGGAGTGGCGGAAAAGAAGAGAGCTTTGAGGAAAGTCTGAACACCGGATGGCATGCAGAGAGAATAAAAAAGGGAGAGTGAGACATATAAAACTAGAGGTTTTGCAATAAATAAAATACAAATGAAGGATTGAATTGCTGTGTTGATATTACCACAGATGTGTCATTTTAAATAATCTAAAATAGAATGTGTAATAAAATCATAATAAATATTAAACTTCAGATTGTTTCCAGGGCTGTAATGTCCTCTGCTCATACTGTACATTTTTTATTTCAGTAACACACCACATAAGGGAGACGGGCTGATGAGGGTTAATACACAGGACAATCAGGAATGTCGACTTCACAGGTAAAGAGAAAAAGAAAATTTATATTTTTTTTCATCTCAGCAGTGCCACTCATCAATAGTCCACAGTTCGATACATTCCAGCATTTCTCCACCAACCAAGATGTCCGACTGCTTGTCTATCTTCTGACGTATCGACTCCATGATGCGTCACAAACCAGGTGGCATGGCTGACAACACAGGGCGACACACAAAGGCAAATCACACACAACCTCCCTGAGAAATTACCCTGACGATGACACATCAGTTACACAAATGGATGCAAATGCTCCAAGGGACATTTTTATCCACTCAGGCTGAATAGAAATAGGATTCCAACTTGGAAAAACATCACAATAACTTACCAATTTGGTCAATATTGTTTCCAATTTGGAATATAAGAAATAGCTTTTCTTGCTGGACTCAGCTGAAAGGATAGAAGCTCTAAATCAGACCACAAAAGGGTAGAACATCTGGTCTAAGGCTTCAGGTATTTGCTACATGCTGGACATGCGCTCACTTCCATGACATTTAGCTTCTTAGCATGGGCCAGTATCAAGGCATGGCAAGAGTTCAAAAAGTTACTTTTAAAATGAATCAAATTGTCAACATGACCAGAGTTTTTTTTTTTTTTCCAAGATGCATAGAGCAGTAAGTAAAGGCTACAATCCTTCTGTAGAGGAGGAGAAGAATTTCCCTCTCTTAGAATACAAATTCAGCTTTTAGGAAAGATTTCTAGTTGTGAAAAACACCATCCATTCCTCCATAAAGAGGTTAAAGACACTAGTTTAAAGCAACTTTGGGTTAGCGCCTCCATATCATACTGTTAAAACTGTGCTACTCTTTCAAGAGCATAACGACCAAAAGGTTCAATATTCTCCACAATCAATTTTGCAATTATTCTATATTTTTGCTTAAGTCTTATGATAAATACATGTTGGTGCTTTTTATTTGAACAGGTAAATAAGTAAACGTTGTTTTGTTGTTTTAAATAAAACTAACTGGATCATGTTAGACATTTTGGGGGGTTTATGCTAAAAACGTCAATCTGTTTAATTTACTCAAGCTCATCATACTGGCCCATGCTTACTGCAGAAATAAGGAACAAAGCCCCGGCGCACTTTCTACTCTAAACACGTAAACACACCACTGATCTTCATCAGTAAGCGTCATCTGCATCCGCAAACTGGATGGACTGGGAGTCGCAGTCCACATCGAAAGGTCTCTCCTGGGAGGAGCTGTCGCCTCCAAAGTTGTGAGAAGGGAGGCGTCCGTTGCCGCACTCGGGTTCCGTTTCGTAGCCGGTGTCGCGCAGTGCCTGAAGGTTTTTGGTGGTTTGGCTGCCGTTCTGCGCGGGTTGCTCCGTCATGTTAATTTTGTCGGCAGCAGACGCTTCCATTAAACCCGCCTCACAGGCCCTGTACTCTGGCTGATGGGTGCACTTGTTGCTCCCTAGCAGAGTGGCTCGCAGCCTGAGGCATGGGGCGGGGAGATACTGCATGTAGCAGTTGTACACCATCGCGGCTAAAAACAGGAGGAAGAACAAGAGAAAAAGAAAGAGGAGGGCCACGCTGTTGTTGTGTTGTAAATACTCCGCAGCAGGGTCCTGGCTATCTGGACGAGGAATGACAGAGTTTGGGGGAAGGTTCCTGCTTGGCTGTAACCTGACTGTGCCACTGGACGGCAGGGTTAGTGATGGATCAGTTTGGGGCGGGGTGGTGAGGAGGACTGTGGATGTGAAGCTGGCCGACGTTAGTGGCTGTCTCTCTGTCTTACCATTACCTTCAGCTGGAAGCACGCTACTCGTCTCCTGGCTGCGGACTGTGGTGGCCACACGGTTTGTCTGGGCAGGGGGTCCAGGAGGAAGATCCAGCTTCAATGTGTATCCAGCAAGAAGGCGGCTAAAGTTCTTCCCAGCAGCAGGAGCCCATTCCACAGACCAGCACTGGTAGTCACCCTGATCCTCGGGGGCCACGCTGTAAATGAGTAGCCCGTTTTCGCCGATGAAGTGGAAACGAGAGGTCTCGTCGAGAAGAGTGTTGTTTGATTTCCACATCACATGAGCCAGGTTGGACTTCACCATGCAGGGAAGCTCAGCAGAGCTGCCTGGCTTCACTAACACTTTACGATATTCCTTGAAAGACACCGAAGACACTGAAAAGCAAACAAAAAGAAGTTTGCATTTGCATCTTCTGATCTAGTGATCCTTCAAGTGGCCTGTAAACAATATTCTGTGTAGTAATCCTCTGTGCAGTCTGGCCCTTTGGGTGGAATCTGTGCACATCTTACCTGAAGGACACTTGTCTGCATCACCACGCAGACTCTGGATCAGCTTCCTGCAACACAAACAACCTATGAGTTCAAACATCACCAAACACTGAGAAGCAGGTAAAACTGGTCTGTCTTTTGAGACCTGGAAATTTCCTTTTCACTGATGAGGGCAGTACAACTATGCAGAAAGATGGCAGTGATAAAGAGTGAATGTAGCCCATCAGGTTACCTGAGTTTCTCCTTTGGAGCATCAAGGATGCAGACACAGGCGGCTGTGTTGGGGTCCCAGGCGCAGTAGGGGTCCCGAGCCAGGACACAGTCATCACACGCAGAATACTTTCCACAGAAAGCTGTGGGGGACTGAATGACGCCAGAGTCCGACCCAGCATACACTGACTGTGTCTGGAAGCAATAAGTTTATAAGCAATGTTCGTATGATACGTAAAGAAATGCATTTGTAAACGTATAAACTTTTCTTTATGCGTCTGTACAAATAATGGCTTTAAGACTTTCACAATCATCAAATATTTCCAGCCAACATTTCTTCCCTCAGACAAGACATAGGATCTTATCTAAAATTCAACTGAAATGTTTAACTTATATTTTTGGAGAACTAAAGAAGAAACTGACCTCTGAAGACAGTAGCAAGTTTTTTATGGGTCCAGAGTTCTTCAGGAGCTGGATCTCCTCCACAATATGGACATCTTCCTCAAACACCACAGACTTGTGCAGGACACCTTTATCTAACAATCACAGTAGATGAAATAAACATTTAAGTATCCAACAAGGCACACATAGGGGAAAGTATTCATTAGTTTAACATTTTAGCATTACCGAATTCAAGCATGTTATTGCGAACTGCATGCAAAGATCAAGTCATTTGCATGCAGTATTATGGCAGATAAGTTCTCACCTGTTCCGGTGAAGATTACATCATAAATGTTCCCATCAAGAGCGTGGACTCTCTCTACTACAATCTGAGTGTAGTTGACGTCCTTGGTGATGAGTCGAGGTCTGTTGCCGATGGGCAGGACAGGGTCCTCCAGCAGCGGGTGGTCCCGGACAAACTGAAGGGTTTTGTCTGGAAGGTGGAGTGAGCTGCTGATGTTTTTTTGACGCAGTTGGTTGCTAATACACTGGTGTTGTGGAGGGGAAAAAGACAAATTAAAGTCAGACAGATGAAGTATTTCAAGCACTTATTCATTGCGCTCTCTCACATTTCGACCACAAACTTTTACACAGTAGACCAACATAAACTAGAGCTTAATTATTCTGCTCTGGATTTTTATTTAGGGGAATAAAAAGCCCGCTGCACTTTTCAGATTTCTTTTTTAAATACTTGAACTTTATCATTTTCTGTCCCCTTGATGCGTTGTGTTGACATATCACATAAAACACACTGAGCTTTGTGGTTGTAAAGAGCTAGACAATAAAAACATATGTGAGTTGATAGTTGACAGCCACTCACTGAACCAGGACGTGGAGACGGAGGGATGCCGTTATACCGCACCCACTTTGTGTGGGACTGCTCCACTGTGGCCTTCTGCATATACTTCCCCTTCGAGAAGACTTCCTCCACAGCTGTCATGTTATAGGCACACACTGCTGACAAGCCCACATTTCCCCTACAGCAGTAAAACACACAGGTGTGAAAAACCAGTTAGACAACAAGGTGAAGAAAGAAACAGAAGGATAAAATTTAAATAAAACATCCATATTTATGGATAGTTACATAGCTGAAGGTTGGGAGAAATCACTGACCACTGAGAAGTGAAGACGCCATAGAAGAGTGTGTCTCTCCAGTCTCTCCCCTTCAGGATGAAAACATCATGGACCACATTGAAAACAAAGTTGAGCTCCGGCATGGAGCACACCAGCTTGGCTTTCAGAAAGGAGGTCCATTTCTTCTGCAGAGTACGCTCTCCTCCAAGGTCACCCTGGAAGCAGATATGAAAGAGGCCATGTGTAAAAAACAATGAGGAAGAAGTCATATTGAAAATCTTAAGGGAGGTTAATGTGCAAAAGGGACATAATAGTTTATAATATGGATTATTCTTTTGGCCTTTCTAATAAACTAATTACCAAAAGAGTATATAGCACCACCATAGTTTGGCTTATAAATACTGTTCAGATGTCTGAATTATAAACCACATATTTGACAGAAACTAAGAAAAAATTAAAGACTGACTGGTTTGTCTTCAAAAAGTCCTTGTTATGTTCCACAAAAATACTGGATGTCTTTCTATAAAACTCCACTGAAGAACCCATTTCCATCTTTGAAAAATGACAAAGATAGAAATCTTTGTCAAACCAAAACCTCTCTCATGTTCTGCGAGAAACAAACTGCTAGTTATAATCTTCAAACAATACATCTTCATCATTTTAGTTTTGTGGGAAGAGCAAGAATTTTACTTGAACTGATAAGATTTTGGTGGATTATGTTTGAGTCTTTAACAAAGTTATATCCAAATTCTTACACATCAGTCATAATCAGCTGATGTCTGCTTGTAGTTTGTTGTCTAACAAATGCTGCACAACTACAATAATCACTCTTATTGACTAGAAGTCAATACAAAAGAAATTAATGTTTGAATTTCAGAAAAAATACAGAAGGTTGGAATCTAAGAACGACCCATAAACAACAACATGGAAACGAAGACAAAAGAAGCATGCTGCAGGTATGAGCAGATGGCGCACAGCGCCTGCTGACCTTACAGACGCGAGCCACCCTGGGAATGAGCAGCTTGCCAAAGAACTCGTACTCCACTGACACTTCGGTGAAGAAGTAATAGATTTTGTCGTCCTCGCCGTCTCCTCTGTGCTTCTCGGCCCTGATCACATCTGCAAAGACGAAGCTGGGCTCTGAAATGAGCACACATGAAGAGGACAGATAAATGCGCTGGCGATGCAAGAGGGTCAGACTAATAAAAAAATTCTTTTTACAGCCCATTTATCCACAGAAAAATTAAGCTGTTTAATACATATGCACAGTTTATTTTAGATTAGAGGAGTTTACAGTTTGGAGATAATGAGCCCAAGATAGATTCTCCATTGCTAAATATTGAGCAGATATGCTATTCAGTTACTGTATTAAAATACTTTCATTCGTTGTATGTTATATTCAAAGTCTCAGTAGTCAATTCTAAGTCATAAAATCAAAATGAGCAAGAATTAAGGGATAAAACTATCAGAGTTATGAGTTTGCAGTGACGGCAGCAGTGACATTTTAACAGACTACCGTAATCTGAGTAAAAATGAGAAGCTGCAAGTTGCATGTTCTGTACACAGAAAAACTCAAATCAGTCACAATCGAAACAGTCAAGGTGGCAAAAAATGCCAAGCCTATATTTGTCCTGGTCAGGCAGCATGTTGAAGTATCGTTCAACTGGATAAACCACCTGTGAAATATGCTCCAAACTCACCATTAAGCCATGATGTGGAGTACTCTGTCCTCAGCAGGGAATGCGATGGGGAATATCTGGAAATAATCGGTTCACTGCCTAAGAAGTTATAAGCTGTCCCAGAATAGAGGTCTCCATCTGATGGGAGAATGAAGCCAAGTCAGTTTTCCCCTCACCATGACAAGAGATTACTGCAGATTATTATCCATTTTAATGCAGGGCCTTCAACCAAAAGAGCTCTTTGTGAAATGAGCCGAAGCTGGCCTGAACTCACCGACCATGACGGCGGTAAAGCTCTGCGAAGGATCAAACGAACACTTTCCTCTGCCATCTTCAGGTCGACCCTCCAAAGAAAAGTCTGCAAGATTCTGAAACAAAAAAGCTCATATAAATCAGCAACGCTGCTGATTACTCGGTGCATGTACTGTGGCGTTCGCAGTTAAAAGTGTAATGACCCATCAGCCCACCAAGTAATCACACTGAGGCTGGAAGGCATGTGTGCCACAGATGTAAAGCCGCTTGTCATCCACTATCTGGAGCACTCGAATGTAGTTGGGGCAGTCCCTCTGAATTGGAACATGACAGTTTTATTTACAATCTTGAATTGTACATCATAGATTCAGACCGAAAAAGCGTGAGAGAAACAAGCGGAAAACGTATTTGTTATCAAGCAAACCTCTCTTGATTTTCCTTTACGTGTGCACATCTCCATGGGATGTTCTGCAACTCTCCACTGAACCTGTAAATCAAACATGACAAATTAGATTTTTAAAGACATTCTCTATTCTGTGATGCCACCATCATTCTTACTCTTTCACCTTTTGGTTCCTGACTGTCACATTCCTCTTGTTGAGCTCAAAAATGGCATCCCTTGCTCCCACATACAGAGCATCTCTTTCCTCACTCAGCAGTAGCGTCGAGTAGTTAAAGATGCCAGGCTCTGAAAACTCCAGGAGGTCCAAATCTGAGGAGAATAATGTTTGGTGATGAGACCACATTTACAGCCAAAGAAACCACCAATAGATCTACATTAAATCATGCAGACTTTAAATTAAGCTGCTCATTATACATTTATATCAGCATTTTTGAAGCTGTCAGTACGACACAGGAGATTCAATTCATGGTGTTTGATTTGAGGACTGATTTTAAATTGAAATAAAACGCTTCGATTCATCTAAGCAGCTCATGCAGGTTAGATGAACAGAAAGTTCCTATTAAAACTCTTTGTGATTGTAACATAGCAAACATTGTACTCAGATTTGATGATAGACCAAGACAAAGTATTGTTTGTTAGATTTCGTTAACAGAAAAAAAAAGAATGCAACATGAAAGAAAAAATTACTAAGTAAAATCTGAAAACTGTTACACGCATTATACAATCAGCCCCTTTTGATAAGATGCTTCTAAATCAAATCATCTTATCTGGTCGATACATAAACAACAATCCTTGATGCTTAAACTGTAGCAAAATGTGTTAAAAGAATTGACTAAAAAGGGCTGAATAACTTTGCACAATGAACTTTTCAGTTTTTTTTAAATGTAAAATATTGTGAAAGCCTTTTGAAAAGTTCATGAATGCTTTTCTTCTTTTGAAAGGCAATGTAACTGGAACTCACGTCTTCTTACTCCTAAGATATTTTATATCTTATACTGAAGTCTTTTTAAAACAATAATAGAAATTAAACTTCCTGCTGCGTGTGGAACTGGTTTGAAGCAACATGACAGCAAATGTAACCACCTTTTCTTCTACTCTAAAGACTGCAACCTGAAGTCTCTTACTTCTGGTGGTTTTAACTTCAAATGCAGGTCACAAACAAAATAAATAGCCTCAACAGGCGACTAAATGCGGCTGGGTGACAGAAGAGTTTAAAGAGGAGTCACTCTTGCTGTTCTCACTCGGAGACCGAGTTACCTCAATTATTTCTGTAGCCAGCAATGAGAACCTTTTCTTCACAGAATCGTTCACCTAATTTGAGACTGGAGCTACTTTCTCCTGATAGAAGTAGGCAACAGGTGAAACTAAATGTACTATTGTGAACATGAGACGCTGAGTTGAAAGAGTTTGACATATAAAGACCGTGTGAACGCTCTGTTCCTCCTGCACTGCCAGCAGAGCCAGTGAACTTTATATCTGTGACTCATGTTTCTTGTTTTGAGATTGAGTAAAGATATCGACTCATAGTGAGAAACACTACTTCTCACTGAGATGGCTTTTACAGAAAAGTGAGGTTTAATTATTTATTTTTTTGCCAAAAATTGAGGAATCAGATGTGTGATGTTTTTCTAAATCTAGAAGTGAAAGTTGAACATTTGTACACAACTTTCACTTTAGCATCCCTTCAGTATCAGTATTACCGTCTCTACTTATTTGGGTTATCTGCAGCTTTCTCTTCTAATGCAGCAGGTAGAGTTACTGTTTTTAATCAAGTCAGAATATTTACTGCGAGCAGCTTTACCTTGGCGTTTCCAGGACGTTCGGGGAAGACTGTGTGGTCCGTGGGTTGAAACCTCCAGGAGGAGCCCCAGAAAAACTCCCAGCACTCCAAATCCCATATTGGACTCTGAAAGCTTTGGAACTGTGAAGTTTCCCCTGCAAGAGCGCAAAAAGAACAACTCAAAGTCAATGAACCGAAACCTTCACCTGCTTTCCTCGTCTCAGAGATCCAACGTTTGTTAAATGGAGTGATGTCGTGCAGTGGAAACTGACAATTGGGGGAACCAACTTAAAGTTCCCGAAAGCAGACTCATCCTGTTTCAGTAAAAAAATTTGCATACTGAATGCCATGTACATTAGAACAAAATCTGAACTGAATCAAAAACAAAGACATGAAGCCAGACAGAAGCACTGCAACAGTCAATCAATAGGTTTCTTCTAAAACACAGACGGCAATCATCTACTCCTTTATTTTATGTGTTCAGTTCATGGGGTCATGAGTCATACAGATCTCAGGACAATTCAGACAGGCAGAAAATTAGAAATGAACAGAAATGTTCCAGTCATGGTTTAAGAGGATTTGCTGCTTTTCTAAATACCAAGATAAACAAAATATGTATTTATGGGCTGTTTGTCAGAGAAAATGAGCTAATTCATGAGGTCCTGGTAATTTTGGCTTTTCTACATTTTGAACCTTAGTCATTTAGATAATTTACCATCTTTTCAAGCAAGACATGTCATCATCACTTTGCAAACCAATAATTTAAAGTAATGTTCTGCAATTTATTCACTCAACTCTTCAGAAATGTGGTTATGGGACTCTGCCAGCAGGGGGTAATTTCAAATCAATGTGTGTTATGATGTGCATTTATCCCCATAACTTAAAAAATACAAACAAGCTGTTAAAGCATAAAACTATTGTTTATAAATAGAAATTATGACAGTATGGTTTAAAGGCCGATGTTATAAAATCGGTTGTTTATAAGTGCAAAACAGAAGGATGAAACAAAATGGCAATATTTAGGTATGAAATGGGGAAGCTACAAATTAGTAAAGGGGCAAAATTACTTGGAGCCAGACATTTGGATAAAGATTTTATGCCATTTCTGAATAATTAAACTTAATCTTGGAGGGCGCCATTCCTACTTGGATATGGATTGTAGGGAGAGGAAAAAAACGTATATGCCTTTTGAAATGTTAAATCACACAGCTTCAGGTGCTGAAAACACCAGAAATTCATTTTGTTCTGTCAGGTTCCCTCCACCTTTTTTCCTCTTTTCATCCACAAGACCTAAAATTACCACCTCCGATCAGCAATAAACTTATAATATAAATGTGTTGGGTATGTTTCATTTCTGTCAACAACATGGCTATAAACCTTTCACCTCGCAGAAAGGAAATTACACCTGTTACTGCTCTGAGGATGAAAAAAAAAAAAAAAACTTGATCTGCTTGCCTCCGGCGATGACGATAATAACCAAAGCCTTCATGTCAAACCTGCTGGTATCCATCCATTATCAGACATTTCTTTTTCCATTTGTCAATAAGATGAATCACAATGACTTTTTGTCCTCTGTCTTTTCTAGAGAAGTGCATGACAAAGACTTGATGAAGCTGATTTGTCCCATTTATGCAGGTACCCATTTTATCTGGACTGTCCTCATGTGGCTGATGTTCTGATAGTTTATAAAACCAGTTCTAATATAACATCTGGTTTTTAACAGCTCACACAATTTGAGTTCTCTTACTGATAAAACAGCTAAAATATAGCAGAATAAATAATTAACTACTACATTTGCTTGGTCTTTATCTTGACTGTTTTATTTTTGGAAACTCAGAAAAATGACAATGTTCCTAGTAGGGGTGTCACTCACAAATCGCAGATGACAAAAGCTAAAAATGGGACAAGTTACACTGCTTACTCTAATGGTGGTCTAAAAACAAAAAAAGCAGTAAAAGCTGAATTAAAATAATAAGTTGGGTTTATTTTAGGACCATGCCTTTCACAAATGTTACTTAGAGGGATAGAATCTGGGTCAGGCCAGGTTGGACTTTGTAGGCCTGATCTAAAGTCAATCCCTCCCGCCTCCTGTCGACAACGAGGCTGAGCACAGGGAGCAGTCTGCTTGTTTGGTGTCCTCTGTGTTTACCTTGAAATATCTCCAAAGTACAGACTTTTTTTTGGAGGATCAACAAATAACTTATTGGTGTGTTACCACCACCAGTTAGTATGAAGTGTGGTTTATCCTTCGAGTTGCACCACAACCCAGCCCTCGAGAAAAATCCAGCAGAAAAGTGGTATCGGTTTGTAGTATCGGCTTGCTTTACAAGTACAAGTACTTGACACTGGTATCGGGGCACCACTAAGTTCCTAGTCAGAAGTTTCAAATAAAATCGTTGGTAAAAAAAGAAGCAGCTTTAAAACATTTGTGAAGTATTGCAATAAATCTTTAAATCTGCTCTAAATCCTCTAAATGTGGCCAGAATTATTGCAGTTTGAGAAAAGCAAGGCAGAGAACTCAAAATGATCTCAAAGGTCAGTTTTCACTACACTCAGTTCAATTCATTGTTACTTGCGCAAAAGACCAATTACCTCCTCCTTTTACTCAATTATTGTTGACACTGAAAAGGCTTCAGCTGGGAGGGTGATTAAATGGCATAATTCAATTGTAAAGCTTATGTGCTTCCTTTCTGCTGATCCAGTCATGTGAGAGCTGCTGTATTAAAGCCTCGTACCCTGGTTTGTGTCTCATTTAAACACAGGATGTTGGCCTTTAGGGAGCCATGTGCATCCGGTGTCTTATGAAAGAAGGTTTTAGTGGCAGCAATGAGCAAAGGGCAAGTTCCAAGCTCAGTGCACACTTCACCTCTGAGTAAGCAACGCGATCTTGCACTAAGCAGGTTATTCTGGTTTTACATCACTACACAACTGAAAGAATGTAAAGTAAGAACACTGCAAAACGGTCGCAAAACAAACGTGCTTAACCAAGAAGCACAAATTAAGCCATAAAAAAATAAACTAGAGATGTAACAAGAAACTAACTGATTACCCATGACTACTGGCTGCCCAATAGTTAGACTCTCCAGGTTCCTCCCACAATAAAAAAAAAACATGACAGGAATTAGTCTCTCTAATCTGTCCTTAAGAGTGAAGGTGTGCATGCTTGGTTGTTTGTTTTGTGTTGGCCTGTGATTTGCAGGCAACCTGCCCAGCGTGTACCCATCTCACGCCAGAGGACCACTTCAGATAGGCGCCCAACAAAACTGCAAGAATAACAGACAAAGGCTGAATGTTCAGATGAATCTCCAATTCATTCAGGTTGTGAAAGTGTAAGGCTTTCAGCAGATGATTTAGATTTAGATGATCTAGATTTAGAGAAGTTTAACATTTAGGAAACAGGATCTGTATTTTTGCATCAAGCTGTACATTCTTGTAATACTGGCTACATTAATCAGACATAAGATAGTAATCAATTTTGCTCCCAATATAGTATTAAACATCACCAAGAGTTTGCACCAGGGATTAGAATATTATCAACTAAATTCTAACATCTTCAAATACCACAAACACTGTATGGTATTTCGCTAACGTACACTTACTTGTACTAAAAAAAACTTCTCATTCAAATTTACTGAATAAATTAAAGAACACAACAAATAAATCATTGTTGATTGCTTTTTAATGACCCAGTGCCCATGCTGTGACTCATTAAGCTCAAATTTAGGTTAGTAGTTCGTCCCAGTCGTCCGTTTGGGGGGGAGAGATGTATCATATGGCATGGCAGTGCGTAAAATCAGCCAGGCTCAATCCAACATGAGACAAGGAAGGGAAATTATAATTGATTATTGATCCATTTCTAAATGAGAACAACAAGGCCTTTAGGCCATGACCTTTACCAACACTGAACCTTCCACCCTTCAGAAATTTCACAAACAAAATCTGTTAGAGCTGGAATTCCATCCCAGCTTCAGGCTCAACCATGGACTCCATTCTGCTAAACGGGGGGAGTCAAACACACAAGCATCCATTGTTTGCAGAAGATGAGGGGAGCCTCCACTCGACTCCATTCCACCCTGCTTCACATCCGCGTCATCACTGAGGAGTAGTCGACAGTGAATAGAGAGAAAGGCTTTACCTCCCCCTCGAACCCCTTTCAGTTCTTTTGCTGCCTTGCCAGCCTAAATGCCAGGACAGCTTAGCCATAAGTAAGGGCCCCCCAAGGCAAGCCGGACTTTTTAAATATCACACAAGTCCATGAGGTCCGAGTACAGGGTGAAAATCTCAGACGATCACAGCAGAAACATGACAGAAAGCTCAGGAGGACAATAATTTCTGTGTTTATGCTTGGAAGTAAAAAAATTAAATAAAATAAAATAAATAAAAAAATACCCTTTGGGCACATTCCATAAGAAACAGTTTCCCACTAGACTCAACCATATAGGCTATTTGAACTCGTGACACCTCCATCATTCCTGCCACTCTCTCCCCCATTTAGGGCGAACCCCGGGCTTCAGAAGCGTTTGAGACTCAGTCTTACAGTAGCAGAAAGAGCATACGCTCATGAGTCGATGCTGCTGAGAAATGTAGGAGTATTTAAGACTGTAACCATGCTGGCTGGTCTCTTTGAGCCCTTTGTGTACCCAGCTCAGCTCTGCTGTCTGGGCAGAGAGCGGACACCTGTTTGGGGCCTTGAAGTTCCCAGCACTGTGCTGTTAGCTGGCTGCAGACACTGGCAGGCCATCCAACAAGTTCAGGAAAGAAGAAACAAGAAGTGAGAGCTTATCTGAGCACTTGAGTCTTGGCCATATTTTCTTATACTGGTGCCATTGCTACTTGACTAAAGTAGCTGGCTGGGAATAAGTTAAAAAAAAAAAACTTCAGGCCTCCAAGTTATACTGCTCTCCTTTTCCATTTGTTTTAAGACTAAAATGTATCAAGTGCTGGACTGTAAATAAGTCTTTTAAGAAGTAGCCAAAATAAAAAATAAGGTTGGATACTTTAAGGTAAGCAGTTTCTTAAGAATAAATAAATAAATAAATGAACTTCAGCAAAACATTAGAACATTCAGAGCCTCCTGAAAGTATTCGTACTCCTTGAACCTTTCCACTTTGTTTCACATTGTAGCAACAAACTACTTATATTTTATTGGTATTGT